TTATTATTATTATTATTATTATTATTATTATTACGGAATTTATTATTATTAATCAAAATCTCTTTTCAACATTTCAATTTCTTGTTTGCATTTTCTTATTTCTTCCAAATTTTATAAATTATCTAGTTTCTAAATAATCTTGTTTGTAAAATTTGTATTGATTTTGTTAATTTCATTGTTAATGATTTAACTTTAAGGGTTTTCTTCCCTTATGATTTGTTTGATTTGATTTTCCAAAGTCATTTAATATAGGGCTCTTTATTCTTATTCTATACATTTTTTAACACCTTAGATATAATTTTGAAATTTTTATTAGAGCTCATCTAATAATTAAAACATTTTGTAAAATCTTCTATTACAAACTTCAATAGGTATATAATTTTAGTCATAACTTCTACACCTGTTCATAAACTCTTACAAACTCAATATTTATGAATCAGAACCTCCATTTTCACAATTTACACATCGAACACACTATTCCAATGTTATTTCTTATGAATTTTGCAAAACTATTTATCTTAATTGTTGATGATGTCTTTAACATTTCTAACTTCCTAAAAATTATTCGATTTAATCCATTCAATTAAATATATAAAATATTAAATAAAGGAACAACCAGTTTTTCGAATTAATAAACAATAAATAAAAAAATATTCTACAGATATATATTTGAATAATAATCTTAAAATAATTGCTTCCAAGACAATAAATAAAAACTGTTTTTCACATTTTCTTAACTAACTTACTTATATCAACTTCAGTATTAAATCGCTTTTATTATGATAACTACTTAAAAGAACTTTAAGTCAATGCTTTAATATTTGATAATCCTTTGACCAATTAAACTGGAGATAAGGAAACTTAAGTTTTTTATTATGGTTTTTCCAATCCCTACTACCCTTATATCTGCTTCTATGACAACATAAGCTTTAATATCGCTTGTCTAGTATCTTGCATTTTCTGATTTGTGTATTCAAAATTAGGAAAATAACGAGAATATTTCGACTAAGTATAATTTATATTTACTTCTTTTTCCTTCTTCAAATTTTCATACAACTTTTGTTTAAATTCATCATCACCCTTACCAAATTCAACCTCATCAAAATTATAACTTAAAGGCTTTGGACGATAATTAATATTCAGTCTTCTTTTAACCAAGGCTTCGATATCAAATCCTTTGAACCACTTATGTTGGAGGATTTCCTTGATACCATTTTTAGACCCTAGGCGCATCTATGGATCTTTTATTAATAAGTTTGAAATCAAATCTCTAAGATTTGAATCTATTTTAACAAAAGGAGGAAATGATATTTTATCATTTAAAATGCTGTTATAAATTTATTCAATGTTCCTACTGTAAAAAGGAGGAGAGCCATAAATAAATTCATATAGCAAAGCTCCTAAACAGTAAATGTCTACCATAAAACTATGGCCATTTCTCATGAGCATCTCAGGGGACATGTATTCTGGAGATCCACAAAAAGAGTATGCTGTCTCTTCTCTGTTCATATTTGGTTTGGCTAATCCGAAATCAGATAAACGAATATATCCATCTAAATCTAAGAGGATATTTTCGGGTTTAATGTCCCTATAAACCACACCATATTTATGTAATTCTTCTATTGCTAAGCAAACCTATACAAAATATTATTTTGCTTATTCCTCATTAAGTCTTCTTAGTTTTCTCAAATGATAAAATAATTCACCTCCTGCGCAGTATCTATATTATAACAAAAAGCAATATACTCCATGACAAAGACTAAATAATATTTGGATTCAAAAGAGTAAAATAATTTTGCTAAATATGGGGAATTCAATTATTCCATCACCTATCTCTCATTATTGATAATTATCTCTTTATTTGAATTCAGAATGAAATTCTTATCGATCAGTTTCATTGCATAAAAATATCCGCTATCCTTCTTTCTAACTAAATATACTCTTGAAAAACCTCTATTTTATATATATTTGAATCAAATACCCAACTCCTATGCATTTAAGTATCTCGAAATCATCAATACTCAATTAGCGATTAACACTTCTTGAAATAAAAGGTTCCAATTTCAAATGTCTCTATTCAATAAATACATCTAATGGGTGATGTTCAAGAGATAAATAGTAATCAATATTATAATTCTTAACGCTATTATGTGTTTGAAAGTGTTTAATTTAATGCACAATTGCAGGATTTACTTGATTAACTTTCCCGATTAATTTCTTATATAGCTCTGTGGTGCTTTGATGTATTCCAATTGGAACAATCAATCTATTTTCATTCATTCCTTTTACTTCTAACTATCCAACATTAATGTTATAGTAAGCTCAATAGGATCTCTATCACTATTTAAGGTCTTCACTGTAAGACATCTTCCAAATGCATTATTTGTTGTACTTCCGCAAGGTGATTACACTCTAACCAGATTCTCCAACGGGTTTTAAAGTTCGGTAGGTTTCTTTCTATGGAAAACTGGAGATGAAGGAAGTCTTGCAGATTAGACCACTTTTATCATTATTTATTAATTTTAGTACAATACATTTTAATGCTTTGAAAGTGTTTATGACAAACATAAGATTATTGTATAACCCCTTAGTATCACAACGTTGAATTATAATATGGAAATTGAAAATATCAAAAGAATTAATTTTCCAAAAACAAAAATATTACTAATTAAAATAAGAATCGTTACTCAGTTTTGTTCTTATTAGTAATCTAAAAATTATAATTGAGATAAATATATCGATTAGTTAACTATAATAAGAAATAAACAGATCAGTTCTCCATAAACTAACTTAAAAATTAGTAGCCACGAAATTCTACTTAATGGAAAAATGAAAATGGATTTCCTTACCTAATTGTGTATTTTAACATATGATTAAGAATCATATTGAATTATTCTGTAATTGGCCTTCAAAGCGATTGTTTGTATAATTAAAATACTTCATCTTATTAAATATATGAAGGTAGGGTGATAATCTTGAATAATATTTGTGCCTTCAATTAAAGAACTTATTAATCATCTCGCTTTCATAGCTCTAAAATTAGTCATAATTTCACTAACCGAAGCGATAATAATGAATTTGAATTGCATAGATTGTTACTAAGTCCACTAAATCTCTTGCCTGAAAGATTAATTATTTAATAGTTAAAGTTAATTAATTGTGTTGCATTCGCCATAATTAAACAGGGCTCTCTTAATTTTCTCTTTATATCTCTCAATTTCAATTATTCAATATTTAAGCTCTCCTACCTTAAAACTAGATACATGCTAAAAATCATTTGTTGAGGGTGATCTTTTGTTTTCTAAATGTGAATGATACGAAAAAGAAGCATAGATATCTAATACAGTGTTGAATTCTAATATTTTTTTAGTTGTGTGTTCTAATCGTTAATATAATAATGCATAAAGTACCAACATCAAGATCTGCTTCAAGCAATCGAATAACTTTAATTAATAAACTCAGCTCACCTTTACACACTCAATAAGATATACTCGATCATAAAATCAACTAGAAGGAACTAATTGAATCATTACTCAAAACAATNAAATACATCTAATGGGTGATGTTCAAGAGATAAATAGTAATCAATATTATAATTCTTAACGCTATTATGTGTTTGAAAGTGTTTAATTTAATGCACAATTGCAGGATTTACTTGATTAACTTTCCCGATTAATTTCTTATATAGCTCTGTGGTGCTTTGATGTATTCCAATTGGAACAATCAATCTATTTTCATTCATTCCTTTTACTTCTAACTATCCAACATTAATGTTATAGTAAGCTCAATAGGATCTCTATCACTATTTAAGGTCTTCACTGTAAGACATCTTCCAAATGCATTATTTGTTGTACTTCCGCAAGGTGATTACACTCTAACCAGATTCTCCAACGGGTTTTAAAGTTCGGTAGGTTTCTTTCTATGGAAAACTGGAGATGAAGGAAGTCTTGCAGATTAGACCACTTTTATCATTATTTATTAATTTTAGTACAATACATTTTAATGCTTTGAAAGTGTTTATGACAAACATAAGATTATTGTATAACCCCTTAGTATCACAACGTTGAATTATAATATGGAAATTGAAAATATCAAAAGAATTAATTTTCCAAAAACAAAAATATTACTAATTAAAATAAGAATCGTTACTCAGTTTTGTTCTTATTAGTAATCTAAAAATTATAATTGAGATAAATATATCGATTAGTTAACTATAATAAGAAATAAACAGATCAGTTCTCCATAAACTAACTTAAAAATTAGTAGCCACGAAATTCTACTTAATGGAAAAATGAAAATGGATTTCCTTACCTAATTGTGTATTTTAACATATGATTAAGAATCATATTGAATTATTCTGTAATTGGCCTTCAAAGCGATTGTTTGTATAATTAAAATACTTCATCTTATTAAATATATGAAGGTAGGGTGATAATCTTGAATAATATTTGTGCCTTCAATTAAAGAACTTATTAATCATCTCGCTTTCATAGCTCTAAAATTAGTCATAATTTCACTAACCGAAGCGATAATAATGAATTTGAATTGCATAGATTGTTACTAAGTCCACTAAATCTCTTGCCTGAAAGATTAATTATTTAATAGTTAAAGTTAATTAATTGTGTTGCATTCGCCATAATTAAACAGGGCTCTCTTAATTTTCTCTTTATATCTCTCAATTTCAATTATTCAATATTTAAGCTCTCCTACCTTAAAACTAGATACATGCTAAAAATCATTTGTTGAGGGTGATCTTTTGTTTTCTAAATGTGAATGATACGAAAAAGAAGCATAGATATCTAATACAGTGTTGAATTCTAATATTTTTTTAGTTGTGTGTTCTAATCGTTAATATAATAATGCATAAAGTACCAACATCAAGATCTGCTTCAAGCAATCGAATAACTTTAATTAATAAACTCAGCTCACCTTTACACACTCAATAAGATATACTCGATCATAAAATCAACTAGAAGGAACTAATTGAATCATTACTCAAAACAATCAAGAGAAAACCCACTTAAAATGAGAAACCGCAAAAAAGGATACGATCCAATGCTAATTCAGGGCAGAAATTGGTTGAAATCAATAAAAATGTCCTTCACATAAGAGATTACGAGACTGAACAATAGACATTCAAGAAAATGCTCAATAAAACCAATTTACCCAAAGCACAATAATTATCTAATTATACTATGTTGTAATTCTTGGGCAAAGGAAAATACAGTGAAGTAAAACTAGCTTGTGAAATCAATACTGGAATACACGTTGCTCTTAAAATAATGAAAAAGGAATAAATTTCTTCTATTTGGAAGAGTATTGCTCAGGAATTAAAGATTTAATACCTCCTCAATCATCCCAATATTGTTAAATTGTACACCTTCTTTCACACAAGTTATTATTATGTTTTATATTATAGCCACTGAAATTGTTTTAGTATTAGAATATTGTTGCCATGGACAATTGCATAAATTATTGAGATCACTACCAGAAACCTGTTTTACTGAATAGGTGGCAGCATTCTACATTAAATAAGTAGCTTCAGCCTTAAACTATCTACATCGAAACGGCATTATTCACAGAGACATCAAACCAGAAAATATATTTTTATGTTACAATCAAATTAAATTGGCTGATTTTACTCATTCAATCTACTCTCCTCAATAAGAAAGATCTACTTAATGTGGGTCATTAGCATACATATCTCCCGAAATTGTCAAAGGAGAAAACTATGACAAAAGTACTGATATGTGGTCATTGGGAGTCTTAGCTTATGAATTATGCACTGGTGAAACTCCCTGGGAAGATCTATCATATCAAGAAATGCAGGATATGATCATCAGTGGCAACATCAGATTCCCAAACAAATTTTCATAAGAATTAAGAGACTTCATAAGAAATCTTATACATGTAGACCCAAAGAATAGAATGAATGCTCGACAGGCCCTTAGTCATCCTTGGTTAATTGATTGTAAATAGGAAGTATCATAATTCACTATTGATATATGATTAATTACTAATTAGAATGTCACTATTATTAAATTTTATCATTAAATTTATTTTTAATATACTCATTATTAATTAAATTCAAATGATTGATTAAAAATAAAGAATATGAAAAGCCTTTATTTTTGATTAATTTCTAGAATTGTTTTATATGGGGCGATATTATCTTTATTTATTATCTTGTTTATGAATGTTATATATTAGAAGCTATCATTTTAAAATAACAACTTAAAAATAAAGATAAATAAAAAATAAGTTATTTTAAAATTCAGATACATCTAATAAAAGTTAAGAGAATTTCATAATCACAATTACTCTATTTGAATTAATAAATTTTCTTTTACATTTTCTGGTTTTATCAGATAAATAATGTAATAAAGTATTAAATTGGATGATCTGTTATTATTATTATTAAATTTTAAGAAAAGTATAGAAATATAAAAATAATACGATCTTTGATTTAATCGCAACACAATCATAAATTTTTTAAATAATTTCTTTTATAAAATTTTACAATAATATGGATTTACTCTTTGTTTCACTATTCAAACGATTTAAATACATCAAGGAGAATTTAAATTAAGATAAATGTCTTAAAATTTAAAGGCTTCCTCCGCTTTAGGAGCATTTAGAAATTAAAGATTAAAACCTAGATTTAACAAAAATAGAATTTAATAATTTGTTATCCATCACAAAATTTATTTTCTTCAAGTAATTCAAATATTAAACGATGATTGTTTTTATTTTTTATATATTGGAAAGCATTAGTAAAAATGCTGTTTCAATAATTATGAGTTTGCTTATATCTAATATTTTAAATTAATCGCCAAACTCCATATATATAGGAGCATTGCTGATATTAGTAAGTTGTATTGCTAATGTAAGTCGACATCAAGCGATAACCAAAAGTATGGAATTTTCAGCAAAATCAAGATTTACTATGTTGAATCTGCTATATTAAAAGCTACTGAAAGTACAAACTCAAGCCATCGATACAGGAAAATTGATCGGACTTGCTACAGCCGATATTAGTATGCTTGAATACTATTTTATGCTGATATTTTAAATCTTTGTTATGCCTATTTCATTTATCTTTGGATCTATAATACTTTACATTAGATTTGATGGATTGATAGGTCTAATTCCATTATTCATCATAATGCTCATCTATCCATTATAGATATTTGTTTAGAAGCAATCAATTTAGTATACTAAGTTATACAAGCAGGAACAGGATAAAAGAATTAAGTTATAATCTGAATTTATAGACAACATAAAAGTCATTAAGATGTATAATGTAGAAGAAAAATTAAATCAAAAAATTCAAGAAGTGAGAAAGCGAGAATAGAAATATTTGTTTAGATCCTAAATGATCCAACTAATTGACAGAAGTTTGAATTTTTTCGCTCAAATATGGACATCAATGTTATTTATAGTAATTCTTTATTTATTCAATTATGAACTAAATAGTGCTTCATTAATAGCGACCATTCAATAATTGTAATATTTTAAGGTTAGCTGTGTGTAACAAGTATCTTATGGAATTTAGAGTTATTTAAATATAAAAATGATATTCCAAAGATACATTGATCTTTTTAACAATCTAAAGATAAAAAATAAATAAATTCAAGTTCATCAAAGTCCTTAACTTATAAAATTCAGCGATTTTAGCATTGGTTGGAAATAAGAGGAAAAACTCTTGAAATCAATATCAATTGAGATAAATCCTAAAGATTTTATCCTGATAACAGGTAAAATTGGCAGTGGAAAGACCTCGTTTTTGTTGTCTTTGATAGATGACGGCCCCTTGACTTTGGGCGGATATATGTCGTAGAAGGAACACTTAACTAAATCATATGTAGAATAAGAGCCAATTTTGTTTGAGGATACCATTTAAAATAACATCACTTTTGGGAAATTGTATATCGAAGAATTATACTTAAAAGTGATTGAAGTCACTTGCTTAAAAGAAGACATATCAAAAATGTAGTAGAAAGATTAAACAATTATAAATGACAGAGTCACTACTATATCAGGTGGTTAAAAAACAAGGATAGCCTTAGCTAGAGCATTATATTCTTTATCAGATATATTGATATTGGATGATCCATTTAGTTCATTAGATGTACCAATTTAAATAGAGATATATAAAAATTTAACAGAGTTTTTACAAAGCTATCATGTTGCTTAGACTAATAAATATCCAGCTGTAATTTTGACATCGCATTCACAAGCCATAATTAACTAGTTCCAAAAGTTTTATCTTCTATAAAATGGTTTATTTGAAGAATAATTGAATGAAAACTTTAACGATTTTAAATAAATTAATTTATCCAAAAAATATGAATCTGTTGAGCAATAGTAAACTGATGATAAAAACTAATTATTTAAAAATTAGGTGTAGATTAAAAAGAACAATAAATTTTATTACTATTTTGTAAATTGGACCAAAAATAAGATATTGAGCATTATATTAGTAGTTTTAGTTGTATTAATGAACTTTTTATCAGAAACATTGTATAATTGTTACTATAATGGAATTTCATTACTTAAAGCAGATAATTATGATCAATAGATAAAATATATCATCATGATTTGCATATTGGCTTTTGTAAATAATTATGTAAAGTACATATTAAATTCTTATGGATGCTTATCAGCTAATTCTCATATCCATGACAATATGATCAAATCGATATCAAAAGGGAAAATGGCATATTTTGATTAAACAGTTGGAAGTTCGGTATTAACAAAATTCAGTACTGACTTAAGTTTGGCTGACAATATGATTCCAGTAACATTATATGATTTTTGGGAACTTGGATCATATTTTTTAGTTTCCCTATTCAGTTTAGTGATCTTGTAAACTCACTTCATTTACATCATGATTGTGACAATCCTTTTAAATTAATACATACTTGGGAATTATAGGAATTTAATATTGAAATCTTAAGAATTAGATTAGCAAACCAAAGGACCGTTATTAGATCTTTTTAAAAAAACGATTGCAGGTTTAAGAACAATAAGTGTTTTTGAATAATAAGGATATTTTTTGAAATAATTCAATAATGCCACAAATAATGCAATTCTTTCTAATACAACTTATTATTACTCATAAAGACTATTTGGAATTAGCATAGACTTTTTGGGTTTGATGGTTTAGTAATGTGGAATAGCAATGATTTTCCTTTTTAATAAAAATGAGACATTTACACAAGCTTTATTATTGCTTATGATTTTTAATGAAAACTAATAATGGTTCTTAAGATAATCTCTATCCTTCGTAACTTAAATTAACTGTGTAGATAGAATGCAAGATTTAATAGGTATAGATTAAGAAGAAAGTAAAATAAGTGAGAAGAAAGCTGTGAATTTGTAAGGAAATTTGAATTTTTCAAATGTTTATTTAAAATATAACCAGGATTATGCTTTGAGTGGATTGACATTAAATATTAAATAAGGTGAGAAAGTAGGAATCATAGGTCGTACTGGAGCTGGCAAATCCTCAATAATTTCGATAATCTTTAGATTATATGATATAGAGAAAGCAGAAAAATTTGAAATCGATGGTTATGAAATCAGAGAATTATGTCCTTTAGTTTTAAGGAGCAATATAAGCATAATACCATAACAACCAATTATTTTTAATGAAACTGTTCGTTTCAATGTCGACTTATTCAACCAACACAGTGAGCAAAACATTTTGAATATATTAAGAGATGTTAGGCTGTATGATTATGTATAAGGTTTACCAAACGGATTGAATTCTCAATTTGGAGAATTATCCTAGGGTCAAAAACAATTGATTTCCTTAAGTAGAGTGTTACTCCAAGATAGGCCAATAATCATAATGGATGAAGCCACATCGAATCTTGATTCTGAAACTGATATGTTGATCAAGTAAATCTTATTAGAAAAGTTAAAGAATAAAACTGTTATCACTATTGCACACAAAACTCAAACTATTAAGGATTATGATAAAATTGTAAAAATTGAAAATGGCAGGGTCTCAAAAGTAGGAGCTCCTTTTGAAATTCTTGAGGATTTATGAGGAATTGTAAAAATTATAATATTAATTTATAATTATCATATTGAAATGCATTTAATCTTGAAATTGATGGTATTTCATCAGAATTAAATATTGAGTGTCTAATGACATTATGAGGAATTGCATAATTAAATAAATAATTATGTTCAAGCTATTTAAATCTATCAATTCTGATGAAAACCTATTCTGCTCGTTTCAAAGGGATATAATCTAAATAAATTAGATGTATTAAAAATTTAGATATTTCCTCAATGTCTTAGAATAACAATAATTATGAAGCAAAAGAACAACTTATTAAAATAATTACTCTTGGGACATCAGGAGCAGGAAAGGTATTTTGAAATTATTAATTAGACATCCCTTTTAACTCGATTGACTCATGATCAATTTACTGAAAGTTACATTGCTACCATAGGTGTTGATTTCGCAATCAAGAGACTGTTTATCAATAATTAACCAGTTAAATTATAAATTTGGGACACTGCTGGATAAGAACGCTTTAGAACAGCTATTTCTAAGTCATATTATAGGGGTGCCAGTGGAATCTTCTTAGTTTTTGACATTGCTAATGAAGCCTCATTTAATGATGTGTAATAGTGGCATAAATGTATTTATTTTTCTAATTTCAAGAAACCTTGGAAGAGATTAAAAATATGAATTAAGATATTTAATTTCTTTTGGTTGGGTGTAAATGTGACTTAGAAAATCAAAGGCAAATCTCATATGACGTAGCCTATTCCTTTGCACAAAGCTTGGGCATGCATTATATAGAAACTTCAGCAAAAAGGAATACTAACTGCTTAGAAGCAGCTGAATGCTTGGGCAAAATATGCTTATAAAAAATAAATGAAAAACAGAATTAAGAGCAACCTCTTATGGAGATTAAGTAGGAATAATATAAAAAGACCACATGTTGCTGATTTTTATTTCGAAACTATTTAAATTAAAAAAAATTCATTTATTGGTCGATATCTTGACTAAAATTATAAAATTAAATCAAGCAATAAAATTATAAAGTAATCAATAGAGTTGCTTTTTTGATTTTGATTTGGAAATTAAATATTCTTTTAAGGGTGTTAAAGATCGATTCCTCTGGGAGTCATTTATAGCTTCTGCAAAACTATCTTAAGATGAAAACTTCTTTAAGTCAGCATCCAATATATATTCTAAAAATATTAAGTTAAAAGTCTACTTAATTCATCCTTGATCTTTGCTCGATGATTTCTCTTTATCAGTTTGAGACCTACCATTTCCTCCTTAACTTAATCCTCCATGGTTTAATTTGTATCTAAGATATCAGATACGTTATCATTTTACTTCAACATGGCTAGAAGATAATAGTTATGAATTACATAATTTTACTTTAGCTTTGATTGGGTTATTTAATTTAATGCTTCTGGTTTCTTTTAAATAATCTTTAAAGGGAGTTAGTGATTTGTCCACATGTTTTGCAGATATTTCTCTCAAACTTTGACTCTGCTTTATAGCTACTTCTTCAAAACTGTAATTCATTAAAAATTCTTATAAATTAGGAACTAATACTTCTCTTTTCTTCGTCAGTTGCCCTGTGACTAAATTTAATTAATTAGATTCCAGTCTTTTTATTGGTAGTCACTTACAGATCTGGTTTCTGTCTTTACTTTCTCTTTTCTATTTCGAGCAGCTTTTGTTCCTTCTCAAAAGGTGGATAATACAATTCATTTAATTGTTTGTTCAATTAAACTATTTTTTTAGGTGCTCCTTTAATAAACTAATCAAATCTTTCATATTGAAGTTAATCATCTGACTTTTACTTTAAACCTTCATCATAAGATTCTTTCTCCTTGTTTTAATCTCTTTCTTTCTCCTTTTGATTCTCCCTACCTGAATCCTTATCCTTCTCTTTTTTCTTATTCAACTTTTTTATTTTTCCTTTTGGTGATAGATGAACAGACATTCTCAATCTTTTTTCAGTATTATTTTAATCTTGTTGGTCAGAATCACTTTTTCTTAAAATCGATGATATGACTTAGAAATTGATATCAGCCTTCTTGTCCACCTTTGAAACTTTAGGAAATGGTGTATTTGGTGGAGGATCAGGTTTAATTTGTAGTTAAGTTAAATATAATTTGGGTAATTGGGGATGATCATGCAAGTCATCAGAAAAATATAAATCTAATTGACTACCAGATTTAATTTTTTATTGAAGCATCATTTTATTGTTAATTTGCAATTGCTATTGATAAATTTAGTATTTATTAGCTTCTTAATAGTTATACAACATTTTCAACATATAATTAAAGGTTTCTTTCATTTAATTTATCCTATACAGGGAATTAAAATCTTTGAGATTCCATTTTAATCGTAATTCCAATGGTAATATGTATTCTGCCTATAAATAAGGAGAATCTCCTAAATTAGTAGATCCTAAATGCTTAGTCTTATACTTAATTAGGGATTGCAGGTCCTTCGTTTTTGATAAGACCAACTGTTCTTAGGATTTGATCTCATGAGTTTAGTTGTATTCTTGGAGTTCTTTCAATTTTAAGATGGAGCTGACTTAGGATGGTTTAAGATTGAGATACTCTTTGTCTATTATCAATTGTTTCAAAGATTTAAGACATGTGACATCCCAAAACTTCAAGGCATTATCTTCTTTGCCAAAAGTAATTAACAGCAAGTGATCATAAAAATTAATTATCTAAGGATTAATGGAATTATGATCAATTTCTACTTTGGTTAAGACTACTTCTTCGGCTTCTTTGCAATCGAGGAGTATTTCATCTGAGGTATTGAATGAAACAATAATCTTTGTATTATCATCTTTATTTAAATAGGGATCCTTGATTTGCTAAAACTTTTCAACAATTTTCGATTGGATATTAGATAACACAATTGGATTGGAGTTTTGACACAGAAAGTATTAATAATGGAAATCTTCGTAGATATATACTTTGCTATATGTGTATTGATTGAGATCGACTGGTTGGAGTTCATAATCTATTTTAATATTGGATATGTATTGTCCATTTCGTCTTATTAAGGTGGAGTCAAGATCCAAAATTTGACTTGGTTAATTACTTGAATCAATTATACTTTGTCTTTCCAAGATAGATATTCTGTGTAGTTCATCTAGAGAATTCTTTCTGATCATGTCTAGGATCTTTTTAACAGTTCTTTTAAATTTAACAAGTCCAGTGCCCTTGACTTCTAGGAAATTGCACTCTTCATTCTTTTATTTCAATTCTTTAATTTGTTGGAGGACTGAGAAATCCTTCTTGACATCTTCATTATATTTAAATTGGTTATTGGCTTCTTATTATTTAAAAAACTGTATGTTCTTGTACTTGAAATGGTTGGGGACATAGATATCCAATATTTTATCTAAGGACTCATAGTTGAGACTCAATATGTGGGAGATAGAATCAGTCCTAACGAAATATTTGGGTTAAAAGAGGGTGTAATCTTGATGGGAATAGAAGACAATTCTTTTTTGGTGTATAATGGCTAAACATCGATAATCATTAAACAAAAAGAAGTCAGCAATTTCATCCTCTGTTGTGATTGATGATGTTGTCTTCATGGTGCTATATTGTATAAAATTGAGAATGTTATTTTTCATGAGAACTCCTATGATGTCTCTTTCACAACAATTGATTACTTTTTAGATGTGACCTCGAGCATCCATTTCTCGAATCTTTGTAAAATGCAATTATTTAGAGATGTATTGACTTTAGAATATTCTCAATATGCTTTTATTCCAACAGGTGAGTTAGGAATATAAATAGTGGAATTGACACCCTTCGATTTATTTGTTTTCAAATAGGGGATATTCAAGGAAATCTTTCTTTCCCTTCTGATTGTTCCTGAACCTGTCCTTGATGATGTGTAAGATGGCATCATTAGTGATGATAATGGTCACATCCCAATGAGTGAAGAAGAACAGAATTTCAATTCCAGAATCGACCTTCTCCTATTCATTTGCCATCTCGACTTTCTCCTCAATATAAGCATTATTCCAATTGAATCCTATCAACTAATTGTTGGAACTGACATACACTCTTTGGCTGAAACATTGCATTAATCTTGGTTTGAATCTCACCTTGACTTTCCTTGGTTGACTTCGTGGAAATTACAAGACCTTGAGTCTTTGAGTGGTGACAATAAACTTCCCTTGATTTAATTTCAAGATCTGGCTTATCGTGTTGATAATTTCACATTCTAGATTGAATCTGTAGATGATTTCCCATGATTCAATATCCCAGCATCTCATGATTCCTTTGTTATCCAAACTTATCAACATGCCATATTCATCAAAAGATTCAATGGCTGACACCGTGTTATTTTCGATTCTTTAGTTTTCAATCTGTTCCCTAATTGTTAATTTATGAAACTGATTGTAATTCTCATTTCCCTCATCGAATTTCCACAGCAACACATCGTCATTGAATCCCACAGTAAACAGAACATCCAATTTAGGAGAATAGGTTATGGTATGAACTGAAGATCCCTTATTGGGTAATTTGATATCTGAGAAGGCATGCCATTTTATGGGATTCCAAACATGAATTCGTTTCTCAATAGTTTTGAAGATCTTATCAGTATTATCACTCTTCTTTTGAATCTCCTCGGTTGTACAGATAAACAGCTGATTCAATAAGGAGATCTCCTTGATGTAATTTATTTGTGCTCCCTTGTAAGGTAGCAACACTGCAGTGCCGACTGAAGAGTTGGCAAAGGAAATAGCCTTACTGTCATTTGATTCTATCAATTATGTGAATGACCATTAATATATTTAATTTTCTCTATTGATTGTTATCCATGCCTTGATCGATTCCAGATAGCTACAAATATGATACTTGTTCTTACGCGATTTAAACTTAGAGTCCATACTTTTCAGTGGAAAAGGAGTATTCCTGTTAAAATTTGTTAGTCAATGTCCAGAATGATATGGTTTTATCTTAACAACATGCTCCGAGTATCTTTGGTGAATCCGCGAAGAAGATATCCAAGATGTTGATAGTCTTTTAGGAAATGGTCTTGGACAGTGATCCCAAGAAGTTGGTCTTGTGTTTAGTTGATGTGCATGATATAGTCTTTTTTAATTCGATCGTTTCTGAGTCAAAGATCTGAATATTATCACTCATCTAATCTAAACTAAAAATTGAATCTTGACAATAGAAAACTTTCTTGATGGGATTTTAATGATGAGTAATGTCCTGATTTTTAGAGAATCTAAATCCAAAATCATCCTTTTCGAATTCTTAGAAGTGTTTCAAGAATGCTCGTTGATCATTCGTGTATGGTAAGAATGATTCTGGCATGTCTTTGGCTTCCGATTCACAGATGATGTAAAAGCTTAGAAAAGTTGAAAAGTTGACCTAATTATAAGTGGTAATCTCACCTTGTGAATCTAGTTCAGCCAACAAATTTGGTCATATAATATTCTAGTTCCATTAATTAAAAATGGCAAATGGGATGGCGGAAAGTCTAGAACTCTTGCTAACATCAAAATAAACTCTTCTTGATTCAGGTCGTGTTGAAATTCTTCAGGGAGACGTTCGATTTGATCCTTGAGTAGCAACTTTGGAATTTCTCTATAGTGATACAAATCGATCAAATAGTCAGTTTGGCTATTGAGCACATCGATCTTGTTTGCAGTTTAGAACAGTTGCCACTAATTAGGTAGGGGAAGGGAACTGAACAAGTATTGCAACTTAGGATTCTTGTATTGTTGGAGGATTTCAATATAATTATCGAGCATAATTATATATATTCAATAATTTAAATTAGTAGTCAGAAATAGAGCAGTGATTCGGATGGACCATTATATATAAGTTTCTGTGAAATTATATAAAACCACCTCCTCTTTTGGGCTGTAAATTATGGAACTTCGTTTGAATTACACCCATTCCTATATAGGTTCTATATTGAGGAGTTATTAATGAGTTTCATGAATTAAAATATTATTGATAAGATCAACTCTTTCGGTCAAACATTGTGCATTCAACCAATCAACAATGAAATGATATCCTTGAGTCAACTGAAGGCCAAGAACTTTTTAGCTACGACTGCTTCCAAACATTATAAGGTGCCTGAAATAGAGGAACCGAAACCAAGGAAAAAATATTAGAATTTAGCCAAAATCTAATTCAAGTTCCAAATAGAAGATGAAGATTATCATTCTGTTTTGAAGGAGATTGTTCAGATGCAGAAAAATAAATTTCCATTGATGCCCTTGCATTTGCATTACAAACCAAGTACACCCTACACTTAATGTATAGACCCTTCGATGCAAGGTTTGTCCATCGGCAGAATCACAAATGAGTAGGAAATGTAAAGACCAATGACTTTGGAGGAATGTCGAAACACAATTAAAACGTAGAAGATGAGTAGAGACACCCATCGAGATACAAGTCAGCCTATTCTAGAAGAATTCAATAAATAACTCTCAAATTCAAAGATCAAAGAGATCTAACCAGCAAAAGTATTTACTGATAGAAGTAAATCAAGTAAGTTACATATGGGATCGACCTTTTAACCTTTTTAAAATTAAACTTAGTAGTTTGAAGTGGTTTTCGATAATAATCAGCAGACTTGTCAATAAAAGAAGAGGATAACGTAGAAATAGTTTAATCTTTACAAGAACAGGAAGATTGCAACGCCCAATCTTGCCATATAATTCAAACAAATAAAGGAGAAGGAATAGGAGATGGAGAAAAGGATAATTCAAGAGAGGAGGAAAGAATTTGATAGAGAATATTTTGAAAAATTGCCATGAATACATTCATGCACAATAAATTATATTTTTTATGCAATAAAGAGAATCAAGATTATCTTAAAGGGCATTTTCATCCAATTCTCCAACTATGAGTAGTGCCTATGCTTCAGCTATGAAGAGTATGCAGGATAAATTAAGAAATGACACTTGCAGAAAATCAATTGATATGTCTCCCCAAGACATCATGATTGAATAACTTAAACAATAAGTCAATGAATTGTCTTCTGAGAACGATCGGCTCCAATTACAATTGATGAAGGTTTCTCAGGAGATGGAAATGAACAATAGAGCCTCTCAATAAATCGAATTATTATAAGTGGAAAGATTATAGCATTTAAAGGATTACTAAGATAGAGTGTCTGAATTGATAAGGAAGAATGAAGAGCTCAAACACGATAGACATGAGATCCAATTGTCATACGAAAGTCTTCATAGATAATTGTAAGCGTATAAGAATAATGAGAAAGGCTTGTTGCATAAGGTAGAAATGAAGAAATTCGAAGAAAATTCAATACTATTGAACACAGTCTAAGAATACAAATAAAAGATCGATATCAAAGATAATGTCATTAAAAAGTTAGAAAAAAGAGTAGAAATTATAGAATCTGAGAAGTTAAAGTTGGAATAAGAATTTGAATATTACAAATAGAAACATCCTGCATTTAAATTGCATGAATTTGAAAAACAGATATCCAATCTCAAATATCAATTAGATGAAAAGGATAGACTATACTTAAAGAACATAGATGAAGCTCAATCAAACAGACTGTGTAGAGAAGAATAAATGGCCAAAAGAATTCAAGAGTTGATTCTGAAGAGTTCCGAATACCAAGATATTATTTAATAATTGACTATGGATTATAAGGATCTGAGTGTTAAATATCATACAATCAAACTGAAATTGGATCAGGAGGAAAAAAGTCATAAATATTTAAAAAGAAGAATATCAAGATAAGAAGAGGCTGAATTCAATTAGGGGTACAGAGAATAGAGAACCATTAGTAAACTAAATTTAGACCAAATTTCACCCACACTTCCCAGTCCCAGAGCAGATCAAAGTTTAAGGTAGAGCCAATTAAAACAAGCAATCCGAGACTGTCTAGAAGACATGAAGAATTCTACATATAGTCCCGATAAAAAGATTGAGTCCAGAAAAAGATTAATATCTCCTTTGTCCCCACTTTAAAATAACGAAATCGAAGCTAAATTAAAAATATTAAATGAAAAATATGAAAACTTAATTCGCTAGGCCTAAAGAGAGAATGATTTCAAAAATAAGGCAGTTATCAGGAAACAATTACTGGAGATAGCTGAGCAAATTAAGGAAACTGCAAAAGTTGATCGAATGAATTGACTAGTAAATTGATTTATATGTTGTTGAAATTAGTATGAAAATCATTAACTCTTATCTCAATGTGGAAACTAATAATTATTATATTTATAATGATCATATTTTATCTATTCTACCTAGTATGCAATTAGGAGACAGAGAATCAACAAGTGTATTTGTCTTTAGGAGAATCAGTGGAAGGGTATGATGAATCCATAATGTAGTTTTGTTTCCCCACTGAAATCAAGTCATCATGTCTATAATTTTGTGGTTCCTGAAATAAAAAATCAAACAAATTTAGTGGTTTTGCTTAAGACTTCAGACCCTGAATCAGATCCAAACTTATACATATCGAAAACTGTTCAAGAACCATTGTCAGTCTAAGATGCTGATGTCCAAGCGTGTGAAGCTAAAGGAATGGGTAAAAATGATGAATAATTAAGATATCTGCATAATAAACAATGAAAAGATTAAGGAAAATGATCTTTTATACATTTCAGTGGTTTCTCGGGTCCCGAGCAGTTACACTTTGCGAATTGAATTAGATTAGGAATAAACATTAACGATTGAAAAATTTCTATCTTTTAAATTGACTTCAGAAAAATAATCATATATCATAGATTTTTTCATATTTGAAATGGTTAAAGATGCAACAGAAATAGAAATACATGTTCAAAGGTTGAATTCAGAATCATCAAAAGAACCCTTCTAAGTTTTCATGAATAATTATGAGAACGGAGTTCCAAATAATGATAAATTTGATTATAAAGCTATTGATACATGGGAAAACAAAAAAGTCATTGAATTCACTTAACATAAGCCTGTTGAGAAGTATAAAATCCTTATTCAAGGGGAGTTGGAAAGTGTACTTAGAGTGAGTGCAACTCGAAGTAAAGTCCTTAAAAACATACATCTCTATGAAAGCATCACCCAAGTTGTCAAAGAAGGAGAGTATGATTTCTATGTTTCGGAGTTTACTATTCCTGATGATGGCAATATTGTACATTATTGGATTCATAGTTTTCTTAGGTAATCCGATTGATTCCTTTTAAGGGTAATGCGAAATTGTATGTTCATTACAACTTCCAACCACCTTTGCTCGATAACTATTAATGGTAAGATAGCACGGAAACACTCAAGTGTATATCTATTTCCAAAAATGAATTGTTGGAAAAAAATATAACAATGAATACCATATATATTGCTGTTTTAGGTGAGGACCTATGCACTTATAAATTATTATATACCTATGAAAAAGAGGGAATTTTATATCCAGAGATTAGATATCAAAGATATATAAAATTAGGTGAAGTTATGAAGTTTGAGCTATTTGATATTGTAAATGAATGGCATCGGATTCAACTAATATTTAGAGTGCTATAACACGATATAAGCGTCATAGTCACTAATTGTACTGATCAATCTGTATGTCCTTAAGATGAACTAGTAAATAATCCAGAGAAATTTTAAAACATGAAAGAATATGACATGAGTTATTATTCGTTCTTTCCATTTCTTGTGATTGAATTAACTTGTAATTAGATTTGTAATTATTATGTTTTGGTCACAGTTCCTCCTAACTAGTGGCACTAAAGTGGTAAGTTTGAGATCGAATACTCTATTATAGGAGGTTATAGAAAATTAATCTAAAACACACCCCATAAATCAACAATTTAAGAAGGCTAATTGTAATTTTACGACTTTTTTGTATCAGAAGATGATCAAATTTAAAGATTAAGCTTTCTAGTCTCACCAATACAAGGAGAAGTGATCATTAAGTTATATTTTTACTCTAGTCAATCTGATAAGAATAATGCTCATTATGCATCCGAAAATAATTCGATTAATTTTGGTGGTAAATTCTCAAATCAACCTTTGCCTGGATATTACTTTATTACGATTTTGGGCAAATCTTCTGCAAAATATATCATAACTGCATGGGTTGTCAAAAATTCTGAAGACTCTCAATAACTTGGTCAATTTCCTTGGCATTATATTCAATTGTATTAAGGAGATTGGCATGATCATATACTATCTAATGATGAATTTGTTCTTTTTAAAATTGATTTGTAAGGATTTGAACAATCTACTAATGATCCATTCAACGTCATATTGAAAAAGCATTATGGATAGTTTTTGATATATGGTTTCGACCATCCTGAGACAATTGAATCTAAAGCAATATGGTAAAGTGGATAAATAATCAATATTTTAAGCAATGATCCTAATTACCCAAAAATACTATATTTAAAAATCAAGCTAAATAAAGTAGGAGGCTTATATGGTAGTTTTAGAATTGCCTATAACTTTTATAATTAAGAAGTTAATTTATTAATAGGTGAACCTTTTTTTAATTTCTTGCCTGCTAATAACTAATAGGCTTTTCGATTTGAATTTAGTGACGAAGAACCTTTAATGATTTCTAAAAGATCCTTTGATAATGATTAGGCTTCTTTAGAATTTAGGTTCTAAAATGGATTAGCAGTCGATATAAAAGAATTTGAAAATGCTAACATTCTATAAATTGAAAAGAAAACAAATAGTAATTGTGAAGTGGAGAAACATCTATGTTCTTAATACCTACTTTTCTCTCTCAATAGTAAACTAGATTAGTTCTACTCTATATTAATCTCCAAAGTTGACAAATCTTAAATTTAACTTGCTGAGGATTAGTCAATTTCGAAATCGTTGCCATTAGGAGAGGATTACTTTTATCTCTTCTGTTCAATTCAGGAGGTTAATATATTAGCATTTAGTTATTTTGGTGAGTTGAAGTTTTATGCTTCCATTGATAAAGATTTGAGATCGTCTTACCCTAATTCAAAATCATATGACAAAATGTCAAGGAAGGGAAAGGCAGGCTATTAAACTTCACTCTACCTTTCTGAATCTGAAATTAAGAAGTATAATTGTGTTGATCGGTGCATCATATAATTAACAGTCTCTTTAGATAAGATAAATCCTGATATCAATTATTCCAATTATGATTATACCATTCAATATAATTCCCATCTGATTTTACTAAGAGAATCAGAAATATAAGAGGGATACCTTACATAAAAAGGATTAAAATTCTATAAGATACGTGTTCCAAACAACAACTAAAATCTAATGATCTTGCTTAAACCAGAACCAAATAATGAAGCCGACCTTATAGTTTCTAAATCTAAATTTCCTAATAAAGAACAATATGATTGGGGATCCTTTGAGCTATTCAGTGATGTCTTAATCCTTGAACCTGGGAATAAAATTCATCCTGATTTGTCTGGAGATTATTAGTAGAAGCTTATTTATAATATATTAGTGTTGGAGTCCTTTGCTAAACTATTTGCGAATTTTCTCTGTAGTATCATCTAGGAAAAGTGGAGGCGTATGAGATATTACCTAACCAGCCATATAAATTGTATCTATTAAATATAATTCAATAGTTACGTTGGAGCAGAATACACAGTATATCTTAGAACACACAGCTATTTCTCATTATTGCCGATGATGATCTTTTTGTAATCACACACTTAAACAGCATTCTTTTATGTAGATGAAGTAGATTAATAAACTTTAAATCTAGGTTATGTCAAAGATGTTACCTAGTTTAAATATAACAATAACTAAAAGGGGTATTCAAAAAGTTTAGTAACTGAACCTTTATAATCTAATACTATTTTGTTGATTGCCCTTAAAACTTACACATCAGAAATTGTAACAGTCTAGGTCAGTAATGAACAGGAGGAAATGTTCTTGGATTCTAAAATCTTACTCTAATATTATCTAGAGAAAAATAAAAAAATTACATTTACTATAAGTCCAAATACTCAGTCAATAATACTATAGATTTATGTGTTCAGTGGTTAAATTGCTTGTTCTTACTCAATAGGGAAATCGAATCAAATAAATAATTTTCAAACTTTAATTCTCTTAGAGGTTCGATCAGATAATTAAGAAAATAAGTTTGTGATTAGTAACTATGGCACTTCCTAAGTGATAATATACTTTGAGTCAATATTCAACTCTCACTTTAGCATTTAATATTTTAATGAAGAAGAGGATGCCACTTATATCGAGTAAATTTATTTACATATTCTAGTTCAATTTACTCTGTATTTGCTAACCTACAAGGTCAGAGTGAAAAGCTGTTTTATTATACTAATTATGATTACTATTAAAATTCAACTCAAAAGAAAACATTTTCATTCACCGTTTAAATTGAGGAAGAATTGAATTCTGTACTCTCCAATTAAAAACATAGATCCTTACCAATTATTAATGTCTATAGTAATAATACACAGGCCTAATTACAACCTGTATAACACAGAACAGTGTCTAATTTAGTATATCAAGAATACATTCATAGTGAGAAATAATATAAAATTGTACTTCATAATTTAGCCTAATTCCCTCAGTTTTATTAAATTTAAGTAGGGAACTCAGAACTTAGACCTTTGATATCAAGAATTAAACAATTTGGAATTAATCAATTGCACTAAAGTTCATATTGGGCATTATAACAAAATGATGCATATTTATTCTATGAGATGTAATTTTGTAATGGAATCTTCTCAGTCCTAGTTGGAAAGGACTTGGATTGGTTAAAGAATGGGCAATATGATTACAAGATAAACATCAAATAAAATAAATAATTATTTGGTTTCTTTGATAAAATTGATCAGGCCAATGTTATCTATTTAAAGTTTGATTTTATTAAATCATTTGATAACAAAATCTTAAATGCCCAATATACAATTAGGACCTATTAGGTGGAAGATAAAAGTGATATCCCTTATGATCAATTCTATCCAGGCCTTTCAGGTATCTTAGCTTCCAAGATTACCGAGGATCCTGAAGAGAACATTACTCTTCATGTTGAATTCGCTCCTTTGCAATTAGTACAATAAAACGAATAAGACACTTTTTGGGTTGAATAGATAGAATATTTTATTATTTTGAACGAAAGATAAGGAGATGATAATAAGGATTTTGATTATTGTTCTGAACCATCCAATGAATATAGAATTTATCAAAACCAAACTGATAAGGATATGTAATTAAATATTAATGTGACACTTCCTAATTTTAGTAAGTAACAATAGAGAAACTTTGTTTTTACTATTTTAGCTACTGGTAATTATTATAATGCTTATTTTAGTGAGCATTTAATTGTATAGAGGTGATTAAAGGGTTTAATTAGACTATTATTATGAAACATCACAATTCTAATGGAACTCTTAAAATTAAGTGATTCTCAATTAGAGCACAGAATATAAATAATGGATGGGATTTGTTATTCTTACGATCATCATTTTGATTATTGGAATTGTTGCCTTTGTCATAATGAAGAGAAAATAAATGATGTATTAAAGACAATTATAAATAAGATCAAAATATGAGAATACCTAGACCAATGATGAAATGTTTGCAGGAATAGAACTGAACTTTCGTGGATTTTCAAAAAAGAGTATCATTTGATTCATAACATGTATTAAATTCTTGATACTTATTTGATCATATGGAGTTTATATTTCCTATAAAAATTCATTAATATAATAGGTTTCTTATTGATATGGGAATCAGCAATCAACTAATGAACTTAATCCTATGTATTTTATGATGGACAGTAGATGAACAAGTTTTATCTTCTCTCTAATCGCTGCAAAAAGTCAGCGAGCTTGAGTTTTCTACATTATTATATATATATTGAGTCGTTCATACTTAATTATCGAAAGAATTATTATTTAAACTGAATTCATAAGTTTTTCTAATTTTTGTGCCAGATCTCTCTATCTTTATGATAAAATCCAATAGTGTAATGAAAACCAAAATATATAATATCCAGAAAATACATGAGAAACAGTTTTTTATTTTTAAGGATAAAGTAACGCTTTTAAATGTAGAACTCTTAATTATATTTTGGATGTACTATGATATGCATAAATTTGATTAATAAATCTGATTGTAATTATTAACATATATTTAATTATTCTTCAAATAAATAGTGATGTTGTCTTTTGCATCTATTACGATTTATCAAAAATATACACTCTCAAAAAGTCTATTCAAACAAATTATGATAAGTTCTAACCTATCTTCTCTTTTTAAACCAACTCTAATGCCTATCTATAAATTGAGTTTTTTTATTTATAATAATTCAAAACAAATTATAATATATAAATTTAGACTGCATTTAAAGTTAATAATTTCTTAGAATTCAGTGACTTCAATATGTGATAAAAATTGTTAATAATTACTTTGTATGCATATAATTTATGATCATAAATCTTTAATATTTGTAAGATATTCTACACCTGGTAAGATCTTACCTTCCAATAATTCCAAAGAAGCACCACCGCCTGTTGAAACATGACTGAGTTTATCATTTGCCTTATTAGCACCAACAAGATTAACAGTGTCTCCACCACCAACAATTGTGGTAGCTCCACTTTATGTTTATTTCACAAGAGCATTCAACATACTAACTGATCCATTCTTGAACTATTCAATTTCGAAAGCACCTTAAGGTCCATTCCAAACAACTATTAAAATATATTTAATTTATACTTGTTTTAGCTCTTCCAATCGCTTCAGCATTTTCTCTTTGTGTCAATTGTCCAGCATCTAAGCCCAACCATCCATCTGGAATTCCTGATTTAAGATCATGTAAAGCAACTGGACTTGAGGCATCCAATCCAGTACCACATACGAAATCAGTTGGAAGATGAATCTTAACATTCTTCTCTTTAGCTTTAGCAAGAATTTCATCAACAATTTTATATCCTTCTTCATCAAAGAGTGATTTTCCAATAGGAACATTATGTATTTTTTTAAGGAATGTAAAGGCCATACCTCCACCAATGATCATTTCGTCTACTTTATCAAGCATAGATTTAATCAATTAAATTTTGTCAGCTACTTTAGCACCTCCCAAGATGACAAGGAATGGTCTTTGTGGTGTTTCTAAAGCCTTAGCAAAATAATCAAGTTCTTTCTTCATCAAATAACCAGCAACTCTCACTTTATGATCAATTCCAACCATGGATGAGTGAGCTCTATGTGCTGTACCAAATGCATCATTAACATAAATGTCTCCCAAAGATGATAATTCCTTTCTAAATTTCTTAACACTCTCTTTGTCAGCCTTGATCTTGGCTCCATTGGCATCAAGACCTTTTCCTTCTTCTTGAATGTGGAATCTAAGATTTTCTAATAAATTAATTTATCCATTTCCAGCATTTGAAGCTTCAACAGCTTCTGAACCAACACAATCATTAACAAAGTTAATTTTAGTGCCCAACAATTCCTCTAGTTTGGGAACAACTATCTTAAGTGAATCCTTTTCAACTCTACAAAATTAATCTCTTAATTTACCTTTTTCCGTCTGGTCTACCCATATGAGACATCAAAGTCACGTTCTTGGGATTCTATTCTAGAATCTTTTTCAAAGTAGGGATGGCTCCTTGGATTCTTGTGGCGTTCTTCACTTTGCCTTCCTTGATGGGCACATTGAAGTCTACTCTGATTAAAACTCTCTTGTTGGTGAACTAACGTAACACATGATCAATTCCTGCCTTAGAACTTAACATTTATTTCAATAAATTTATTTATCTTAAAAGATATTTGACTCTTCTGTTTATAAATTAATTATGTTAACATTATTATTGCTACAAGTGGTGTTTTCACAAAAAATTTTAGATTCACCACTTGAACAAGTTGTATGGTGCAAATCTGAAACCTTCATTCTCAGTGCCAAGGGTATGCTATACAAAAACCATACATCTGAAATGCCCAAGTTAATATCAAATGTAAATAATGATTATTCATTCTAGTTAACCATAAGAGAAATATTACAATCAGAAGCAGATCCTTAAGTACTTTATATATTAGGTGATGTTGATACTTCCTATGTAACTCAGAATTGTGGGAAAACCTATTAAAAATTCAAGCACGAAAAGACTTTGCATGATTTCAGATTGAATCCATTAGAAGCCCATAGTCTCATGGCATTTAAGGAGTTCAGATGCAATGCTACTAATGGGAATTTGTGTAAAGAGAAATATAAAAAATAGTATGAGATCTTTATTGAATTCTAGATTGTATGTAAGCAATGATTATGGTGCAAATTGGAGACTAGTGTTGAACAGAACCAGGGATGCTATATGGGATAAGTTGATTGAATTACCAGAAGTCCCAGATTCAAGAATTGTTGCATCCTATTTAAGTGATTAAGGCCACGTATAGGTTAGTTATAGTGATGATTATTTCAAAACTACGCAGTTGTTGAGGAATAATTCTTATGGGTTTTATTAGACCAAGGAATACCTCTTTATATTGATTGACGCTGATCCTTTTAGCAAAGGCTATGATCTGGAAGTAATTAAATAAGGAAGTCTTACTCCAGTAGAATTGGTATTGCCAATTGAAGATCATCAGAAATACACCTTTACTGTTTTGGACACTGTTAATGGATCTATTTTTATATCAATATCTCATTTGGAGGACATGCCAAAGATTATGAATATATATTAAAGTGATACAAGTGGTACTAAATATACATTATCATTATTAAATAATGTCAGAAGTTTGGATACTGGAAATTGTGATTTCGAATTCATTATGAGGGGAATATACATTGCTAATATTTATGATAATACTGAATTTGAGAAATTCAAGTTGAGAAGATCTACAAAAAATACAGATGGGATTAAAAGATTAGAAAATTATAAGTAAAGCAGAATCACTTTTGAATAAGGAGGAGAGTGGCATGCTATCAAAGCTCCAAAATATGATTATAAAGGATAGCCTATTTAATGCAATGGAGATTGCTCATTACATCTATTAGGAAGAAGTGAAGCACCAAGGAATAGAATTGTTAGTCATTCATACATTACAATTGGAACTGGAAACACTGGAATTTATCTAGGGAATGAATACAAGACTTATTTGAGTAGGGATGGAGGTCATACATGGTTTGAAATATTGGATGGTATGCACATTTATGATATTGCTGAAAATACAGGACTTATAGTATTTGTGAGTGATGAAGAATAGGCTAGTGAAATATTATACACTTGGGATGAGGGTCTAACATTTAAGAAGATTAAGATGAATATTACAATGGATATAACTAATGTTGTCTATAAGAATGGTAAGTTTATATTTCATGGCATATCTGACAGCAAAACTCTTGGAGTTGCTAAGGAAGATGATTTTACATCGAGTGCATTAAAAGGAATAGTTGTTTCACTGGATATCAATTAGATTATGGTTAGAGAATGCCAAGGATTTGATAGTCCTGGAGAATAGGATTCTGACTATGAATTCTGGTATCCAACTAATTATGCTGGAGACAAGTGTTTATTTGGAAAAAGAGAAAAGTATATAAGAAGAAAGCAGAGAGCATAATGTTACAACAAAGAACCAAATCTACCAGTTTAGACTGAAAGTTGTCCATGCACAAAAGCTGATTGGGAATGTGATGTTGGATTCAAAAGAGATGTCTATTCTAATTGTGTCCCAATGAAAGAGATCAAACCAAAATATTGCAAAGGAACCTATCTGAAAAGTTAGGGATATAGAAAGATCTCAGGAGATGAATGCTAAGATGGGTATCAAATTTATCATATAAAATATAGAGTATATTTAGGTCCAATTGAGGTTAATTGCGAATAGGATGACTCATCTACTACAAAAAATGATAATGTTTCTCCATAAAGTTAGGGTGAGAATGAAACATAATAATCCTAAGTTCCTACTAAAAAAGTACAGATTACCCAAAAGAAAGCAAGTGGTGGTGGCATTAAATTTACATATTTGGCAACTGGAGTCATCCTGCTTATTTTGGCATTCTTTGCAAAGAAGAAGTATTTAGACGCTGGTAAAACCAAAAAGAGAACTCCTGCTCATTACTATCCCGGGCGATAACAAGAAAAATAAAGTCTATTTACAGAACTATGATAATGTACATATTTACCTATAAATTTTTGTTACCATTCGGTTTTGCTCATCAATTGCAGTATAACCAAATTATATATAAATATTAAGTTAATTTAATATGTAAGCCTCTCCCTTGATTAAAGTGCAGAGTTCTGCGTTTACTAATGGTTCAGCATTAAGAATCAAATAGAAATTACCATAACGACAAAGCTAAATGGATTAAATCAGTCCACTTAAATACTTAGAGGAAAATGACTAATCTCCATCTAAGATTATTAACATTTATGCTGATAGTGCTTTCTATAATAGTTAAACTGCATTTTCTGACATCTAAAATCAGTAAATAAGCGAGGAAGATAGGATACTTAAAAGTTACACATATAGTCAAATGACTCCTGATGATGCAGAGAAAGCTTACTGCGAAAGGCAAAAGACTATTCAAGAGTAAATAAAGAGATCTAAGGATAAAGTTAAAAATAAAAAAAAAGAATTTTATGAATCCAAAAAGACTGCTGTCAAGAGTGGATCATAAAAATAATAGATTAATTCTTCAATTACATAATCTCAATTAATTGATATATCGAGGGGTTCATAGCATTTTAGAAGAGCATCAATTGATCAATTACTTTAAACAAAAAATAAACTTATTAAAAACCAATTAAGTGAATCGAATTAATCATTTCATTTATAATTTTAAAACAAGAAATAATAATTACTAAATGATATTGCCAAACTAGATAAAGAAATTGTGGTAGAACAATAATATATCTAACTTGCATCTAAGAAAATCTAACCAAGATAAAATGTGTAAACAACAAAAAAAATTTAGGAAAAAAGACAGGCAACTAAACAATTTGCTAAGTCTGAAACAGTGATTTAAGAAAAATAATCAATAAAACCAAAAACTATGTTAAAAAATCTCAATACTTCACAAAATTCTCAGTTATCACCTCAAATATCTCCAAAATCAACATTGGAGGGAAAGTTTCCTATTAGATCACAATCTTAAGAAGCTAAGGAAATTGTTGACCTTTTAAGACAATCCAGAGAAGACTTAAACTGTATCTAATTTGTTATTATTATCTTAGAGAGGTTGCTTAGAATGAATGAGAAATACAACTTGATATTAGACCAATCAAACAAATTTAGAAACCATTATTAACAAATCTGATTATAATTAATTATTTATATGGATATTGATGATATATAGTAAATAATACATGTTAAGAATTACATAATAATAGAAGAAAAGTAAGAGAAAGTCTTTAGTGGATCTATCTTAATAAAATATACTTTAAGGAGAAAAGAATGATTATACGAAATATCAAAAAGAGTAGATTTAACGTAAAGAAATTATTAATGTTTATTTGCATAGACATGTATACTAATAAAAGGAGACAATTTAAAATCAAATGCTTGAATTCAATCGATTATAAATTATAAATATAATTAATTATATTCAATACTTTTTTGAAGAAGAAGGAGGAGGCCGTCTTGAAGCAGTTTAAGTACTTGTGAATGTATTGTTTGTTCCATTCAAGTTAACATTGTTTCTACCATTATTGGTTTATTATTAAGGTTATTGTTATTGTTTTTAGAAGTTGTTAGTTGCATTAAACTGAGACTTAATAGTATTCTGTTAGGGTGGTAACATCTATTGAGATTTCTTTTTCATTTAATTTATCATAGCCTTTTCCTTACACGATGGAATGTGTTTCAAGGCTGTTTACTCATTAAATTTTCTGCCGCAATGCTCACACTATACTCTGTCATCCACTTCTTCGATGGCAACCTAGGCTTAGTGATTCATGTACTTATTCCTATTGAGTAAGTGGTACTCCTTTATTTGATTTCATTGCTGCTCTGAACTATTCAGATTGCAATTTCCATTTAGGCTTTTTTTAACCTTATAATGGTCTATCATCAATTTTAGTTTATGCTGATTTTTTTTTCTATTGTTGTTGTTACTCTTCAATAAATGCAATAATTACAAATCTATTCTTCCTACTCTTATTTCTATAATAATTTAGCATGATCGGGATTGAGTATCCGATGCTCCTTAGTATCGAATGCTTTTCTCTTCTCTTGAAATACCTTCTTGCAAATCTTAATGTGTTTTTACAAAGCAGACCTTTTAAACTTCCTTCCACAACCTTCAGGACATTCGATTAATTCCTCATCATCATTCTCATACTCATCTATTTCTATTGGTTTTTTATCTTCCTTTGCTACAATATCTTCATATGCAGTTGTTTGGGGCTGATAACTTTAAGCTTTCATTAAAGAGGGAGCTTAGTAAATATCTTGATCTGGCACAGCTTACGTGAATTCAGAATATTTCCTATCCCTATCACGTTTGGCTTTGAGTAAAGTTAAAGCCGATCGTATTTCCTCTTAAGTAGCTGGACGATTGGGATTGTTTCGACTATAACTATTACTTCTTTAAGTAGGCCTTTAGGGCTCTAAAGGTACTTAAGGTTTAAAATCTCCACGAAGATTCATTTCCGCTTATTAAGCAAAGTTAAGTCTGGCTTCTCGAGAGTTTGCCCGAAATTGAGTTGAGCGGGGAGGTTAAGCTGATTATTTCATTTTAATTAATTATATATATCTAAATTACTTTTATTTACATAATCTAATATTAGATCTTTGATATTATAATAGTTATTCTAATCTAAAGAGAGTAATATGATATTTAGAATCATCAAGAAATACCTTGGATAACCATATGTTTATTATGAATTTTCTTTTATAACAATATTTAATTTCTTTTATAATCATAGATGTAATTTTGAAGTTAACTGAAAAATCTAATATTTTTAACCAAATAACATCTTTTCCAAAGAAAAAATCATATATTTGCTTGATTCATCTTAACTCATAAAACTATATATATAGGTGTCTAGATTGGATTTTACTAATTAAAAATTGGATTATTCATTAGAGTATTTTTAGAATATGTAAATTATAAAAATTATTATTTCACTTTTATAAGAATATAACTATACAAGTAATGTCGTCTCTAGCCAAACTATTCTAAAATTGATGATAAAATTTACTCTTCTCCATGCTTGAGTTGCTTCTATTATTATCCGTTCGGCTGCTTATTCTGGATTGTCTTTTTCCAAATAAGGAATAACAATACTCATAACCTTATTGAATTTTAAAGTACCTCTTCATTGCTTAAGTATTCCCACACTCCATCTGATGCCACCACAATAAAATGATCCTATCCAGTTATAGTATATTATTTAATCTCTGGTTCTGCAGTTACTCCTGCTTAAGCTCCTACTTTGTCTCCAAGTGACCTCGTCATTGCCAATCCTGGAGCTTAAATATATGAAAGCCACACTCGAAATGGCCCTATTGGGTTACCATACAAATCTATTAATTTAACTAATGATAAACCTTTTTATTATTCTACTCTTCCTCCTGCCTCTAATATTTTTTTTTTCTCTTCTGGATCATCCGGTTTATGATCTCTGCTCAAAGGAACTACTTTCCAACCATCATCAAATCTACCCATTATTGCCCTTGAGTCACCTACATTTGCTGAGTAAATCTTCATTATAATATTTAAATTACAATATCCTTAGTTATCAATAATGACACTGTAGTTGAACCTGAAAGATTGGTATCAATTTCAGAGTTCCACAATTCTCTATTAGTTATTGTAAATGCCTTTTGAATTTGATCCTCAATGTTCTCTGCATCCTTCAATAATCTACCCAAATGTTTAGGCAATTGCTATTTGATTTAATTTGAAACCATATGACCATTTAATCCATGGCCATCACACACTGCAAACAACTTAAATCCAACACTAATGCTTAATAAATAGAGTTATACCTTTCTACATTTTTTGGACACACTATTGCAGCATCTTAATTAATTTTTGTAGCCTTATTTGGCTAACAACCAGCCTTAGTTCTCATGGCAAACATAAAGGAATTTCTCTTTCCCAATCTTTTCTCTGGTGTTATTGATTTCCTCATTCCATCGATTTCTTAAGTTTACTTTTTTCTTTATAATTACTACTCACTTGAAGTAAATTATATAGATGGCAATCGAGTAGCCTTACCCTTATAGATTGAAACTGTCTACTCTATTTTGTTCATCTTTTTTAAAGGAGGTAGTGCAGGCAATGATAGATTAGTCTAGTATTTACCATTATGGCTGTTATAATCAGCACTTTCAGGATATCTAGAAACTATTCTTTAAATGTTTTCTTTTTGAGGAGATGAAAATTCAAGTGGTTTTAAACGATACTCTCTTTATAATCTTGCAAATGGAACAGATTATTAATGCATTTATACTTATTTTATTATAAAATATATGCACATTATTTTCCAATTTTAAATATTATACAACTTCAACATTAATTATTAATAAGATATTGCTACAAAAATATCAGTCTTAATTTTAAAAAATAGAAATGATTATCTATACTTTGATATATGATTCATAAATAGAAGGCTTTATAATATATTTCAAAAGAAAATTGAGAATCATTTCATTATTTCAATTGCAATTAAAATAAGAAATATAGATGGCATTATGTTAATAAATCAAAAAAAGATGTAAAATTAAGTTTAATTTTTAAAGAATTATTCAATCGGGCAATAAAGTTTCTAAATATTTTCATTACTTAAACTTTAAAGCCTCTACTATATCATCTGATAATTTAGAAAGTTCGTTAGCTACAAAGGAAAAATTAGGCTAAGGCTAGCTTTGCTATTATAACTGAGGCGCAACATCCACCCCTTAATCACTCTGCTTGAATTCTGGAATTTGTTCAATAGAATTTTCGATTTTTGTTGTTGACTACTAAAGGGATCTATAAAAAATAAGAATTAACTTCATATTGTTCATCTAATTCCATAAAGCAGGCTAGTATTTTATTTTTGATTGCTTCTCTTTCCTACATTCTTTGTGTGATTTTTAATAGAAATTAAGTAATTGATAAATTTATTATTGAATAAAACTATTATTTATTATTCACCGTTTGCACCTAGAAATATGATTAAAATAACATTGTTTTTTTAGGAGAATATGGAAAATAAAAGGAGTTAATGTAAGAATTATCATTAGTAAATATTACAAATTAAAGTCTTTATATAATTTAGTATTATTAATGTTAAAAAAGAGAGGATCAGATTAGTTAGATATAATTTTTGAAGCTGGGGAAGATTTAATGAATTCTTCAAAGAATTAGGTTATAATTCTAAAAAACAATTCTATCAGATTACCAATTACAAAGCCTCGAACATTTTTATCTTATAGTTTAGAATTTTGTGGTATAACAGGTTTAAATTATAAATAACTTCGATTTCAATCATTGGGAAGAGACATAAGGGTATTTGATTAATTAATGATCTAGCCTGAGACTAGCATAATGACTGCAAGTTTAGTAAAAGTGATACATACAAATGAGTTTAATTAGATGGTGTAAAATCCTTTGAAAACTTCATTATAAAATTTATTTTTAGGAGGAATATTTAGTGATATCATCCTTAAGATTAATGATGAGATAGTAAAGATTGTAATAGAAATGTAGGTACTCCCATTACATAAATGCATATTGTCTTGTCGATCACCAAAATTTAATGGAATGTTTTCATCAAATCTGATGGAGAGTACACAGAATATCATAAAAGTAGAATGCAAAAAGCCTGAATTGTTTAAGTTGATGTTAGGTTGGATATATAGTGGATATTGGAAAGAAGTATTTAAATAAGATAATGATCTTGCTAGTTCCCTGATAATATTGCAGATGCATGTGATTTGATGTTATTGGCAGATGAGTATATGATAATGGATCTGAAATAGAAGTGTGAGGAGGATATTATATCGAAATTGGACATCACAAATATTTTGTAGGTTTTGTTATTTGTTGAGAAATATTGCGATATGTTATCTCCGATAATAGTGGATAAGGCACATAGTTTATTTATAGATGATTTTGATTAGATATTAAGATTGAACCCCAATTTAGAGTAGGAGATAACTAAAGTGCCAGGATTGATGACTAAATTGTTTTTAAATTATCATCAAAAGAAGATAAGAAAAGCAAGAAAAGTACACTTTGTAGTTGAAGACTTCGATTAATAGGAATCAGATTCGGATTATAATTCATAGGATTATGTTAGAAATTATACACAAAATTTTTACTAATGATTTATATAAAATTTTATCATTTTTATTAAGTGAAATATTCTTAAATTTTAACATCTACTATTTCACTTAATTCATTTAATTCTTTTTTCAATTGGTTGTGTCTATCGATTTGTATATCTTTTTCGAGGAAGTACTCCTGTAATTTAGTTTTTTAGACTGAATCATCGATGTCTGGCATTTAGTCAATGAGAGTCAATAATTCCTTTTGAAATTTGAGCATATCAGCAGCTCTCTGTTATAAATCAGTTTGATCCATTTCCATGTACAAAGAGTTTCTGAAAGTGTCTTCAAAAACCATGAGGACTCCTTGAAGTTTATTTTAAAGTTATAATGCCATTTATTTAGTACTAATGTAATTATATTAAATTAAATAATGTTTAGAATGTGTGTTTATTAAAAATATCTTTAATTTAATGAATCAATAAAATTTGGACAAAGACGAGATCGCTTTACTCTAAAAGCCTTGGGTGAAGAATCACACAACTTTGACAAACGATCACATCTTAGAACTTTACAGATTGTTTAATTTGTATTGTGATCCAAGAACTAGAAGAATTGATTTGAAGGATGTAATGATAACAGCATAACAATTGGGATTAATAGAAAAGAGTCCCATTGTGGCCAACACATTATAATAGGTTTCAGACTAACACGGAGATGGAGGTGTGGATTTTGAAGAATTCGTAAGAGAGTTGACAACTAAATTGGTAATTTGATAGCATAGATTCCTCTAGGGCAATACATTTGAACAGAAAGGAAGAGAGTAACTCTTTACATTGGTGGATATTGATGGTAAAGGTACTTTGGATAAGGATGATTTGAAAAAGATATCAGATGAATTGCATCTCAACTTTTCATAAAAGGATATCGATGAAATAATTCACAATGTTGCAGGGTATGATGCAGTTGACATTACTGCTGAATAATTTGAGAAATACCTAGCTAAATTGACAAATAGAAGAAAAATTGAGACTGAAGTGCTCAGAACAAAATGAAAAGACACAATTTATATAATAAGCAAAAAACAGATTTAATATATTTATATATATATATATATGTTCTAAATGATTTGATTTAATATCAGACAGCTGAAGCTCCTGAAATGATTTCACATAACTCAACTGTGATCTTAGCTTGTCTGACCTTATTGTATTCAAGTGTCAATTTGTCAAGCATTTCACCAGCATTTTTAGAGGCATTCTCCATGGCATTCATTCTCGATGATGTTTCACTGGCGAAATTGTTCAACATGGCATGATAGAAGGCAGTTGCAACATAATATTCATACATGTAATTTTGAACAAATTCCTTCTCTGGTTCAGCTGTATCGTATTTAGTGACCAATCTGAATTAAGCTATGAAATTCTTTCTATTCAATAAATCAACTCTCTTGACCACTTATTGCACCACATTCTTAAATTGATTGAAGATGATTGCAATTTAATCAATATCCTCTGTGACATTCTATTAAATCTGATGAGCGATAGATGATGAATTAACAAAATTGATAGGAGTATGAATGGCTGTGATAGCCTAAGTGAGTAATTCAGGAAATCCTCTTTATAATGCTCCAAGGGACTAAAAATATGATTAAATATTCATATACTTTTTCACCAATCAAGAATAGTTTGAAAGCATTACGATTTTGACGTACCACTGAACGTGTTTCTCTGATAATTGATGAATTGATGCCACCACAAAGTCCTTTGTCTGATGTAATCGGAACCAAAAGGGTCTTGTTGATTTTGAAAGTTAATTGTTTTTTCTACAAGTATGTTTCATTTGCAAACAAATCCTAAATAGAACGTATACCAAAGTATTTGCCATTCTCAAGTCTTTACACATCCTGCTTCATTTTTGATGCAGCAACCATCTTCATGGCCTTGGTGATTTTTCTGATGGATCCAACAGACTTCATTCTTTGCTTCAATTATTTAAGATTCAGTGTGGCAAATGCATACTAAGGAACTGGAGTAAAGCTACTCCATAAACTAAGTGTGGCACCCTACAATCTCTACATTTTTAATTAAATAATTAAATCTTATAACAAATAAGTATAGATAGCAGATTATTAAAATAACTTCATTCCTTATGCAATCTAGCATCAGCTCTTCAGAAATCACATAGAATGTGTAAATCATATGTCTGATTACCTGTTCGACATATTTACTTATTTATACCAACAAATCAATTTTAAGTAATTCCTTAGGAAACTCTTTGTGAATGAAGGTAATTATATTTAATTCAATCTATTTTCGATGGATGTGATAAGGTTTATAATCCGAAAATTATTATAAAATATATTATTAACTGATTTATTTTTTAGTTTAAATACATGATCCAATTCGATTAGCACAAGCAAAGAACACTTTAGACAAATCCAGAAGACTACTTTAATTAAGAAGATGACTAACCCACTGAAACAAATATGTATTAATCTTTAAGTAAACTTTCTACTTAGCCTTGTAGATTATCAGAAGAGTCATTAACCATTGAGTTCATAAGGATACTTAGCGAATTAGCATTCTAAACTATTTGATCTCAGAAAGAAATATCTCAAAAACCGCGAAGATACTCACAGACGCTCTGTTTCTATTCACAACAAAATGCAATGCAATAAATCGCCCATCAAAACCCAATAAACAAAAAGGCAATCTTCTCCAAAACAGGAAAACTATTAGCCTCTGCAAAAGAAAAAGACAATGCCAGTCTGCAAGAATTTAGGCAGCAATCTTAGAAATATATTAAAGTCTAATTATCAACAATAAGGCTCATTCGGAGAAAATCCTGAAAATGCAGTAATCAGAAAGGAATATTCCTAATTAATAGAAATCCCAATCGAATATTAAGGAATTGATAATTACTCATTTATTAAGACTTTGGGAATAGGCGCTACTGCTGAAGTGAAAATGGCAAGAAATAAAGAATTAGATATTGAAGTTGCAATCAAGATATACGATAGAAAGAAGATGAATAGTATGCATCTCAAGAATCTGGAGAGAGAAGTTGAGATCTTAAATTTAATTAAGCATCCTAATATTATTAATTTGTATCATACATATGAGAATGATAAGTCCATATTCTTAATTATGGAATATTCATCTCCTATAAATTTGGAAACTTTTATGAAAGGTCGACCATTCAAAAGAATAAATGAGGATGAAGCTAAAATATTGTTCAGATAAATAGCAGATGCTATTGCTTACATCCATATGTTGAACATTTCTCATAGAGATCTCAAGTTCGAAAACTTATTGATAGACTATAACACCAGAAAAGTGAAGATTATTGATTTTGGATATTCAATTAAGGTTGATGGTAAATAGACATGTTCTTGTGGTACACCTCAATATATGGCACCAGAATTAGTTAAAAAGAGTGCCTATGATCAATCGGTTGATGTTTGGGCTTGTGGTGTTATTTTGTATAAGATTTTAACTGGTGTGTTTCCATTTCGTGGTAATTCAGAGAAAGATCTGTACAGAAAGATATGTTTAGGCAAATTGGAATATCCTTCGTTTGTTAGTAATCAAGCGAGATAGTTAGTATCATCTATGTTGAGAGTTGATCCAAATGAGAGAGCTTGTATGTAGGAGGTGAAGCTGTCTTAATGGTTGAATTGAATATAGATGAATAATTATTATTAAAATTTAACAAAAAATTAAAATGATATCATTTTTGTACTTGTTGTGATTCTTGTGATTATTGCTACTATGATTATTATACTTTCTTGGTTACTCTAGAATCGAACAAACCCTATTATAATCTTAATGCACTTAGAGCAGTCTATTTTTTGAAACTAGCTAATTCAGAAAAGGACCTTTGAATATTATTGAGACTATTCTCTTATTGTTTCTATAACTTTTATTAAGTCTTCACTCGATCTGAATATAATTATTTTATTTCCTCAACCTTAGCTTACAAATTCCTTTAATTATTGATTGGAGTGTTAATTTTAGAGTAAGTGGATACTTAATGTGATTTAAAACTATCAGTGCTTTCATCCATTTAAGTATGACATCTTTAACTAAGATACAACTAATCAATGATGGCTGATTTTTGAGTAATTCTACTCTACTTCTCATGTTAAGATACAGATCTTTATTAAGTAAAGAATCTATCAATTTGTGCTTTCAAATTCTGCATCTTCAATTCAAACTCATCAAATCTAAAGAATTAATCTTCATAATAAATACTTAATTACCATTATCTGGGAAATATTTAACTGTGCTAAAAATATCACTAAAACTCATTTATCCTATGACTTTTTGCATTATTTATTTGCATCCCGAATAGTAGTTAAGAATGCTCACCGAAGGCTATAATTATTCACTCAAACCAATATTTTCAAAGTCACTCCTCAATTAAATAAGACTGTTAATTTTCATCTGAATATCATTGAGCATTTTTTCAGTCTGTTGTTCTTGGATCTCTTTAAGGTTTTCTAATTAATTTACAACCTCTTTCTCTTTATTCTGAATCACTTAATACAATGATTGAAACTATTCTTGCACTCTTTAAATTAGATAATCCATCTCCTCTTACAAAGTCGAATCTTAATCTTAAACTCTTTTTAATTGCAATTGCATTAATTCTAATGATGCTCCTATTGTATGAGTAGCATCATTCATTTTACTCTTCAATCTCTTCAAACAACTATTCACATTCTATATTTCATGTGTTTTATTATCGTGTCTCAACAGGCATTTAATACAAAAGCATTTATTCTCACAAGTGAAACAAAATAATGTTGCATCTTCCTTGGTATGAATATCACATTTTGGCTATGCTATAGGCTATGCAATAGTTTAACTCTATTGAAGGGGTTTTTCTTCTTTAGTATAATTTTAATCTTCCCGAACCTTTTCAAGACTAGTTTGAATCAATTGATGACAGATACTCTCAACTACTGATACTGATCCATCATCTAATGGTGTGTCTTTTTCACAAACTGTACATATATAATGAATATTTTCTGTTCCCTCTAATTTGAAGATTCTTCCACCCTATTATTCTAAATTAAAATACTTTCAGAAAGTTTTGAGCCATACAGACTAAGCAGAAACAGTGATTACAATTTAGACTTAAGTAATTATCTGGCACTTATTTGCATTGATCACAGGCAACAACCTCCTCTTCAGACATGAATTAACTGTTAAAATAAATAATTAGCGGAATTATTGTTTCATTAAAATTTCTGTTAATTATTAATCGGTAAATGCAAGTACTACGAAAGAGTTAAGATTAGATCCCATTTATTAAAAGCGATCATGATTCATCTATTAAATTAAAAGATTGATTAGTTTATAATATATTTTAAATTGAAAATTAGAATCAATATTTTAGAATCATTAAAAACGATCTGACAGAAACCCAACCAGTTTTGATTCCTCTACTTATTTGTACATGCTTATACATCCTTTAACATTAGTAGATTTATTGGCAAGCAAAGTTTTTAATTATTTTCGATTTCGTTCTGTAGTAGAAAAAGTATTGACAAATAATTTTTAGGCTAATTGCTATCTATATTACTATTTCTCCTCTTCCGTAGAGTCCTTTGTCAAGACCTTAATCTCATGCCTAGGAGATTTGGCTAATTAAGTGTTTTTGATCAAATCTTCTGGAGATTGATGTAATTGTCTTCTTAATTTGGCTAAGGGGTTTTCAATAGATTAAGTTAGTTGAGGTTCTAATTTCTTTTAGATTTCATTGGAATATGAAATAAGTTACTTTTTAAACCCTTCATTGGGTTTTACGCAGGGTCTTTTAGATTTTACAAATTTAAGTGTTTTTTCAAATGGCCACTTATTTTGATGCATTAAATACGCAATAACACAGGTAGCTGATCGAGAAATACCAGCCATACAATGCACTAATACAGATCCAATTTTCATAGCCTCTTAGATTTCTTCATTAGTCATTTCGATCAGTTCTTGGATATTTACATTTTCTTTATCGTGAATTTTAAAAACCTTATCATAAGCATAAATATACTTTATGGTTAATTTTCTAGTGTTTAGGATAGCTTACATTAACATTGTTAGCTACTGTAATCACAGTACGAATGTTTTCCTTACTTAGATTCATAATATTCTGAGCCGCCTTTATATTACCTAACCACAAAGCTCCAGTGGTTTTTGTGGATGGCAATATCAAATCCATTTCATTGATCTGCTTGTACATAGATGAATATCTAGATATAATATAAAAATATGGCTATTTAATTTATAAATCACGTAATCTTACTCGTCCAGAGTTGGAAGGTCATAGTATGTAGTTCAGTATTTTGCTTGATAAGATACAAGCGTTAAAGTTATCGATGATATACATAGTAGGGTGAAGTGAGTAACTCTCTGAGATTTTATAAATAATGCAAGCATCTATGAATTGCAAAGGATTCTTCCTAAACTACACTCTCTTAGATTTCATCGCATTTTACAAGAATTTTGATTTGTTCTTCTGTAATTTTTTCAAAATCCTCTTCTAATTTTAGGGCCCACTTTAAAACATTGGGATGTTTCAAATATTGTAAGCAAATTAGTTGTTCATCATTAAATTTGTCTTCCAAATAGCCGTTATTCAAGTAACCACATAATGCTATTAAAGTCTGGAGACAATTTTTCTCCAAATCTTCATTGAGTATTTATTTGCGTATAACTTAAAGATCTTTTTCATTGAGTTTATTAAGCTCATAAAATGCTTACTTGAGAGTAGAATTCTATTCTGAGGAGTGGGTCTTCTGTTATTCTAGATATGAGATTTAGTTGTCAATGGATTTAGCATAATCTAGCCAAGTCTTCAAGATCAATTTATAAGCATATTTTAATAATTGATCCCAGAATGAGGATACTTATCGTAATTAACATTAATCTTGAGGCGTTAGAAAATAGAGAATATGTAATGAGCAAACTCTGCCTAATTACATAAAATTGAATTATAAATAATAAAAATGCAGCAGAATCCATTCTAATTTGATTTGCAGATGTTCCATAAATTGTTTGAGTTTAACAACAAGGAGATAATTGGAAAAGGCTTTGATTCCATTGTTTATAAGGTGAAAAACAGAGATGATAAAAATGAATATGCATTAAAGCTCACAAGTTTTAAGGACTTATAACACAAATTTAATTTTTAACAAGAAATACGACTCTTATATCATTTAAATCATGATCATATAGTCAAATTCTATGGGAATAGTTTGGATGGCAGCTGTATATTGATTGAATTTATGCCCTATGGTCATCTGGTGAAATTGATAGATTTATCATTGGATATACGAATAATCAAGTCGATAGTATTTTAAATCATGAGTGCTGTTCAGTACTTGCATTCAAGAAATATAGTGCATGGCGACATCAAACCAGAAAATGCATTGATTTCTAAGGATTTTGTAATTAAGATTTGTGATTTCGGATTTGCCATTATAGCCAATTAACCGAATGCTAAATTACGAGGTGGCAGTGAAGGTTATACTGCACCTGAATTACTCACCAATGAAAATTATGATCCAAAGAAGTGTGACATGTTTTCTCTGGGAGTTCTCTTTTTTGTTCTGTTTATGGGATATCGACCATTCTTGAGCACTCATCCATAGAAACAGGATAAATTTTGGAATTATATCAAAAATAAGGAATGGGACAAATTCTGGAAGATATTTGAGCCCAAAAAACAAGATGCCGGATTTAAGACTTACATACAGAAACTATTGTGTGCTGATCCCAACGAGAGATACACAATAGATGAAGCATTGTAAGATGACTGGTTTAAAAGCAATCTATATACAGCGAAAGATTTAGCACTACAACTAAAGATGCATTTACCTAAACAGTGATATTTTTTTTGATTAACCATTTGTTTAATATGAAGTAAATTGTATAATCTAATGGAATATCTAAATTTCTCTAAATTCTAAAACCATTATCATCATTTAAATTAATATTTAATAGTTCTCTTGAACAATAATTAGTATACATTAAACACAAATAGCATCAAAATTGTAAAATAAACTCAAAATGTCCACCCTCATTTCAATACGTTTGGATACATTGGGCCTTTTCTTTTTAGAATTGGCCTTATTTAGTAATCAGTTAATTGTTGTTGATTATTAATATAATATTGGTTTCTGAAGTTAACCTTCATTATATCAAGATTTGAAATTTGAGAAAGAGTCTCTTTGATTTATAATACTTCGTCATTCGGGTCATACACACAAACTGTGACACAATTATCAAATTCTATTGAGTAATTCTTCCCTTTTCCAATCTGCCTTCCCTTTGCATCATACCTTTACTATTCTTTAATCAAGGAAGTTTTATTGAAAACTTAACTAAACGCCTCATCAGATACTGTATCATCATCCGGCCCCACTTTTACATTAAGTTGTAACAGTAATTTAGGACCAACATTTGATTTCTGCATTATAATTTAATTTTTAGTATATTAATTGGAGCCTATTTGATTTATTCCTATATTCTCATTACTTCTTTGGTTATATAAGAATAGTGAACATCAAATGATCTATTGCCAACACTCAAGTGTCTTAATTATTATCTAATCCTTATATTCTATAAACTATATTAATAGTATAATGCATCAACCAGTTTAGAGAATGGGTTAATAAATATACTGAAATTTTAATATTCATTTAAAATATTATATGGATGTAGCATATAATATATTAAATTAATTAGAAATGCATGAACAAACAGCGGAAGCTAGTCTAAGTTATTGATCTAAATCTTAAACAGAAAAAGAAAGGAATACTGATCCTTATTTTCTAAATAATTATTAATCCGAAATGCTTGGAAGACAACATAGTTGGAATTGTTATGAAGAATATGTAACGTATCAGGGAACAATGAAATTTGTTAAGTTGAATTTTAATTCTATTTAAATAATTAAAGGATTTAGAGAAAAAACAATTTATAATAAACTAAAAATTATCTATTAATTTACTTTTTAATAATATTCTTTTGTAATCTAAAGTAATTTAATTAAATCAAACTGATGTAAATATCTATGGTGATAATATTATGAAATTTGATAATAATATTTATTATGAGATTCAAATGAAGAATGAAATTGAATGTACTCAATTTCAGTTGAATATTCTTTACTGTAATTAATTAACTTTATTTTATTGAGTAAAAATAATATAATTAAATTTTACTAAATAAATGAGTGCAGAAAATGAAATTCAAGAGGAAAGAACCTAAGGTGAACAATTTGAAAATTGGAAATAGAATGTTCCTTTCATGTATGAGATCTGCATAAGCCATTAAAATAGTTGGCCATCTCTGACAGTGACTTGGTTGAATGAAATTGAAATGTTATTCTATTTTAACTAAATTTAGAGACCAAAATAACAATGAAGTGCATAAATTAATTGTGGCTACATAAACAGCCAGACAAGAATAGGAATTCATTAATGTGCTTAGACTATCACTTCCACAGTACACAGAAGAAGACTTTGATGCGTCCTCCTTAAATAATATATGTAATCAGATAAACCTAATGAAAAGGGAAAACTCAATCTGTTGGCAAGATAACACAGGAATCCCAAATTCCAGTTTAACATGAAATCAATAAGATCAGACAATAGCCTATGAGTAAAAGTATTCTGGCAGCATAAACTAGTGTTGGTGAAATAAGTATAAAAATGAATAATTAAATAAAGGCATTTATGATATAAATAAACACCAAAAAGTGCTGTCTCTAAAAGGATAAGAAAGAGAAGGCTATGGGTTATCATGGAATCCTAAGAATTAGGGACATCTATTGTCAGCTAGTTATGATAAGAAGATATATTATTGGGATGTGACAACTGGATAGTTAATAAAGTCTTACAATTTCCATAGTCAAGAAGTTGAGGATGTGTGTTGGCATCCTCAAGATCCTAATCTATTCATATCTTGTTCTGATGATAGAACATTTGCAATGTAAATAGGCTTTCATGTATATTAGATGTGACACTCGCTCATAATAGGGGATGAAAATCTAATAGGAAGCCCACTCTTAAGAGATTAATTGCATTTAATTTAATCAATTGGAACCAAGGTATTTTGCAACAGGTTCAAATGATGCAGAAGTTAAAATGTTTGATATCACAAAACCAGATAATTAGATTTATTCTTTTTCAAATCATGAAGATGCCATTTATACTCTTTAATGGTCTCCTCATAAAAAGAATTTGTTAGCTACAGGTTCTGTGGACAGCAAAGTTATTTTGTGGGATTATTTGAGAGTAGGTAAATCACAGGAGAGGGAGTTCGAAAGAGATGGCCCTCCTGAAGTAGTGGTAATTATAGATGATGTAAAGCATTCTAGTTTTATCATGGAGGTCATCGATCGAAGGTGAATGATTTGTCTTGGAATCCCAATCATAAGAATTTGATGGCAAGTGTAGAAGCTGACAAAAATATGTTGTAGATTTGGAAGATCTAACCTTAATTATGGATGGATGAAGAAGGTGATGAAGCTATTAATTGATTTAATCTCTTATTTATTAATAATATACATTGTTATTTATTACATAGATAAATAATTTAGAATATCCAATAGTAAATATATAATTTATAATAAATATGGTTAAAACTCCAATAAAAGTCATAGTGCGCACACGACCAACTGTTGAATTTGCATATAAGAACATCAATATCAACGAAAATACGGGACACATTGCAATTAATATACCAAAATCAGCTGAACAAGGTATGAGTCTTGATTTAACATATCAAAGGATTTGTGAATCATTAGTAAGAAGATTGGGGCTTCACTTTTGATAAGGTTCTTTAGAATGCAAGTCAAGAGGTTGTATTTGACATATGTGGGAAAGAATTAATTCACAGTGCTCTGGGAGGATATTCTGGCACCATAATGGCCTATGGTTAGACTGGAGCTGGAAAGACATTCACAATGATGGGATCTCAGATTGATTATAAATACAGAGGAATGATGCCAAGATGCATAAGTTTACTATTTCAAGAGATAGAAGCCAGATATGAATAATAAATTACCGTAGGAGTTTCATATTTGGAGATTTATAACGAAATGATGTATGATTTATTGGCAGGAGGAGATTAAAAGTAAATCAATATCTATCTTACAATAGCTCTGGTTTGGCAATCCAGGAAGACAACAATGGCTATGTGTAAGTCAAAGGCTTGACAATCAAAAGGTGCTAAACCGAAGAGGATGCAATAGCTTAATTATTTGAAGGAGAAACCAATAGGACAATCAGCGAACATAAACTCAATAAAGCATCATCTAGATCTCATTGCGTATTTACAGTCCATTTAGAGATAAGATCTAAAGTAGAATCTGCTGAAAAAGTCATTATTAGTAAATTGAACCTAGTGGATCTGGCAGGATCTGAAAGAACAAAGAAAACAGGATCAGAGGGTAGAACTCTATTGGAAGCCTAATTTATCAATAAATCACTCTCATTTTTAGAATAAGTAGTCGTTGCATTATCAGAGAAATAAAGGGATCACATTCCCTATAGACAAAGCAAATTGACAAATCTTCTCAAAGATTCAATTGGAGGCAACAGCAAGACTGTTATGATTGCTAATATATGGCCAGAGAAAAATCAATTGGAGGAAACTATATCTACTTTGAAATTCGCATAAAGAATGATGAAGGTCACTAATGAGTCTTCCATAAGAGTTAATTTGGATCCATAAGTATTGATAAAAAAATACGAAAAAGAAATCAAAGATTTGAGATAGGAATTAGCTATGCATGATACTTTGGCTAATAGAGGTAGGATATAATATGAACCATATACACCTGAACAATAATACAAATAATAATAGATAGCCTAACAATTTTTGAATGGGGAACTTGAAGATATCGATATTGACTCATTAAGATAAGTCAAAGAATTATTCTTCCAATTTAGGAATCTCTATAGAAATTTAGTTAAAGATTTGGAAAATAAAAATTACATTCCTAGAACAGAAAAAGAACCTGATGTTTCAAAGAAGAAGAGTGATTAAGTTAAAACAGTAGATCCTGTTGGGTATGAAGAAAATAAACATGGATTTGGTTTGGGTAAGGCGAGAAAAGATGGGAAACCAACAACCAATATAGAGAACTTAGTCAATATTCCTAAGGATGAATTCAAACAGCTAGATGAAAAGGCACAATAAGAAATAAGGAAGGAGAGTTAAATTACAGAGGCTAACAAGGAATCTACTATAGAAAAGAGAATTGTCAATGTGGATAAATAGCAAGCATTTACTGATTTTAAGAGTAAAGAGGGTTCTTCAATTAATCAATAGATATTAGAAAATATTGTAAAAATTATAGGATCTATCATTAGAATCAATTGAAAGAGAAGAAGGATAGCATTGTGTCTCAGTCAGAGATTTCAAACAAACTCAAAACCTTGATAGAACAAAGGAAGGGAATGATTGCATAGAAATAATAGAATAAAAATTAGGAAGTAAGAGGATAATTAAATGATTATAGGAAATCGCATAGGGAATCATAGATGAGGAGGAATATTAAATTTTAAAAGAATTGAAGGATCTAAAAAAGTAATTAAAGTAGAATCAATCAAATATACGAACTTTGAAATCTGAGATTACTGATTTAGACTAAAACATCAATTAAGTATTGTGTGTTCATTATATTTTAGTCAAAATAAACGTTGGTTCAAAAATTTGAGGAACACTTCCTCAAGAAGTATGGATTAACTTTGTAAGACATCAACAATCCACTTGTGAATTAAAAAGAGGAGGAGTATTCAATTAATGATCCTTCAGAGTAGGATGATGTGGATCAGGATGCTTTGGCATATATAAGAGCTAAGAATAAGGTTACATAACTGCAGAAGGCTAGAAAATAAGAAAAGATGCACAAATGATAAACGTATTTATCTATAATAAATCCTTATGAATAAATGTTTTATTTCTTATAATATCTTTTGATTCATTTTATTCCTTTTTTAAGAAACTTTTCTTGGATTTCTTATAGACTTAAATTTTCTGTTTCCTCGTAGAAAGTGTTGAAATCATAATTGATATCTTTAAATTCTTCATAGGGATTCTAACAAATGGTCAAATAAAGTATGAGCAAATTAGCCTCAGTTTCTTTGCTATTCAAATTTTTAATAATCTTTAAGTTCTCTAAAATTACATCTCGATATAACATGTGAAAGGTATCATTTGCTTCAAAATGATTATTCTGAATTGATAAGAAATTCCTGATCAAATTGATAGTTTAACTTGAAGCTTTTCCATTTTGCATTTCTTCCTATTAAACTTGATTGCATTTCTTTGAGATTTCAGCAAAGAAATCTGATGAGTGTTTCATATCCATTTAAATGAGTTGAGTAAGTTTTTAATATTCCTATATTAATGATAAGATTAGAATACTTAAGAGACCTAGAATCTTCCCCAGGTTTCTTTATCAAATTTATCATGATCCTTTCTAGATAATTACTAATTAACTCTTTCCAAATGGACCATCTGATTTTTAGCTATAAGATATATTAATCTAAAGTAATTGTCATTGGCTAATTAGAGCATTTGGATGGTTTAAAGTTTTATCACTTTCTAGATAACAAAGTTAAAAAAGAAGGCGATGTTTCTCTCAAACAAAAAGTAATTATTATATTTCAACATAGCATCTCTTCTTTTTTTTTCATTTCTATAATTACTCATAATTATTTCACCCTAATTATAAATTAAAATGTCAAACATTTTATTCGGAGTCAAATTAGCTTGAAAATTTAGCAGATTGTGATCTCGCCTCGGATGAAGCATCTAAAGTTGATTGATTAGAGTTTTCCAATGTATTTATGGGATTCTTTGCCAAATATCCAACAACTAGATTTTAATCAATATATAATTTATTCAAACTGATTGATTTAGATACCTCATCTATAAATACATATCCATAATTTGCATACCTTTTTCTCTTAGAATATTCCTCATGTTCTCCTTCATAATCTCTTCATCTATCTTTATAGTTGGATCTTCAAACACCCCTTCCCATGAAATCCTGTCCTTCTCTTAAACTCTCAACATCAAGGTAATGAGTTCCTTCACTTTCTGTGATCTCACTGGTTTTGGCAAGAATTTTAGAGGCTAAATTTAAGATTCGAAATACTTATTTTTTGATATTCTCTAAGAGTTAAAATGCTGTTTCTGCTGCCCAAGGTGGTCGTCCATACAGAAGTTCATAAAACATAACTCCAACAGACCAGACATCACACTTCGCTGAAAATGGTTAGCCCTCCAAGATTTATGGTGCCATATAGAGAGGTGAACCAAGTCTTGATAAGTAGGCAGGATCTAAAAAAGAATTTAAAAATATCTATTACCATTCATTTCAGTGTCCATAACTCTAGCAAAACCAAAGTCTGTGATTTTGGCAACACCTTAATGAAGAAGTATATTGGCAGGTTTAATGTCGCGATGTATGATTTTTTGTTTGTACAACCTTTTAAATCCTTCTACAATGTGTTTAATAAATATGACTGCTTCTAACTAAAGAATCACAATAGACAGATACTTCGCTGAGTCGCTTTTCATCCTTTTTAGCCATATAGTCTTTGAGATCGCCATCAGCGCAATATTCAAGGAACATATAGAGATAATTGTTTGTTCTTGCTACATCAAATAATCTCACGATGTTTGGATGATTAATTTTCTACAGGATAGCTATTTCTCTCTTTATTAGCTCGATCATCTTTGGTGTGTCTGAAATAGTCTAAGCAATAAACCAAGTATTTACAGCGATCTTTATCGTTTTGACAGCCACTTGTTTGGTTTCATCCTCCTACAAAAATCCTCGATACACTGTACCATAAGCACCCTACCCCAATTATTTATTGACAACAACATATTTGTCGACTTTCTTGGTTGTCCAATCTTCAGTCATTTATAGAAAAAAAAAATAAATTAATATTCCAAAAACTTACTAATATTTTTTCATAAATATATACAGAGGATATACAAATTAGCATCACAGCCTGTTTGCCCGAGCTGGTTAAGGGGGCAGACTTAAGATCTGCTGGAGCCTACTCCGCGTCGGTTCGAATCCGACAGCAGGCAATTTTTTTTATCTCAATTCATAATACAAATTTTATAATTAAAATAATTAATGTAATTTATTTGTTCATCTTTTTTAGATAGAAATTATTCACTCTTTTTCATCATCAAATTTGTATAGAAAATACCAAGATATTGTAATTGATGTTAGCCTAATATGTTATTTTAAATAAAGAAACAAAATCTTTTTAGCAATAAATTCTGAGTTTTTAATAGAAATAGTCATATATTTAAGAATTAGTAATAGCTGGTATTGTATAAATTGATGTGTAATTACGAGATAAATATTTAAGTATAAATTCCTTTGAGAATAATAATGATTTAATATTTTGTTAATGGGAATATAAAATTAATGTATTTACGAATTAAATTACAATTTAGTAATAGAAGCATTTACTTGGAATTATATGAAGCATACGAATGTTCCATCAAGAAATTATATGATTTACAGAATATTTGCATGAGATGAGCTTAATTAATATAGCCAAAAAGAATCTATTTGAGATTTAATAGTAGAATTTAACAAAATTTTGATTTCCAATTGAATTGTTATTCAATTATTAAAGGTAATAATGTGAGATATGTAATAAATTCATTAATGCTAATCCATTATATATTTTTATACTTGTATGTTAATCACATAGTAGTCTTAATTATGAAGTATGATAATATATAATATAATTCGTAATGTAAATACAAGTATTATTTTCCTTCTTAATTTATATAAACTTTTTATCTATCTAATTGGGAATATAAAATGAAAGGTTATTATAAATAATATAATTAACATTATATAATGTTCAATAAATTTGGTTAATAGTTAAAACCAATAGGCATTAGATCATCGTCTGAAACTAAGAAGGAATAAGCTAATCAAAAATAAAACTTTTAAATAGTCCCAAAGAGATAGAAGAGTGAATCAAGAGTAAGTGAAGAATAGAAATCACACTTTTAGAGTGTACCTACTCAAAGGGGAAATGTAAGATTGCCTGATTTAAACAAATCGCAAAAGCAAATTGAAAAGTCAATATCTGGAGGTGATATCACCAAAAAGCCTCCTCTAATGAGAAGTAGAATCATCATTGATTCCAAATAAAAATAACAGTAGTAATAATAATAGTCTTTGACGCAATCAATTACTATAAAGAGTAAAAAAGAAGAGAGTATTTAGCATAGTCAATAATAAAGAGAAAAGATGAAGGTCTTCTATTTTAGTTAATCACGACCTGGTTATGATGGAATATCAGAGAAAACTAATTAAGATAGAGAACTCTGTTTACAGTTTGATGAAAATAACTATGCTTTTGTAGTAATGGATGGTCATGGAATGGATGGAGAGCGTGCCAGCGGTTTTGTTAAGGAACAATTGAAAAGTAAGAGATATGTAAATATGTAGTTAATTTGAATAAGTTTTATAAGGTATTTGACTTTTAAAAAATATTTTTGGATATCCATTAAAAGATGAAATTGTAGACGGTTTTTGGATGTTAATTTTCTGGAACAACTGCAACTGTAATACTCTTAAATGAAAACAATATATAATGCGGTTGGGTAGGTGATAGCAGAGCCATTCTAGTGAGGAAACATCAGGATTTAACTGTTATTGAATTATCAGTAGATCATAAACCTCATTTGGAAGGAGAACGATAAAGAATAGAATAACACGGGGGAGTTGTAGATACATATCATTTGCCAAGTGGAGCACCCATTGGACCATCAAGAGTATGGGCAAAGGGAGCATAATTTCCAGGTTTGGCGATGAGTAGAAGTTTAGGAGATTTGGTTGCTGCATCTGTTGGAGTATCTCAAATGCCTGAGTTAAATTTAGTAGATATTGTGAATAAAGAGGATTTATTTATTGTATTAGGATCTGATGGAATTTGGGAGTTTCTGAATAATTAAACTGTATTATGAGTTAAATAATCAAGATAGCAGAATTGGTTTATCCATTTTATATGAAGAACGATCCTCAGGGAGCTTGTTAAAAGATTATTTAGGAAGCTGTGGCTGCTTGGAAAGCGTATAGTGAGGGAATAGATGATATTACTGCAATAGTTATATTCTTTCAATATGGATTATGATAATTATAAGAATCATAATTTAGCATTTACTTCCTTCATTTTTTTAATGTATGTAATTCCTTCATGTACCTTCTATTTATTTAAAGAATTGTCTTGTGATGCATAATTGTACATATTTTCATAGACATTTCCATCCTTGGGAGCAATCAAGCTTTGTAATGTATTTTCAGATAACCCTTGAGCCTCTACCAAACATAAGGCATTTCTTCTTATGATTGGATATAATTATTCCCTGGTATCTTGCAATAATCGAATTTGTTCACTGCTTATTTGATTTTCTAATAATGATAGATATGATAATTTACTGAGTAATAATCCTTGAGAATTATTGAGCAGCATTGTGATGCCATACACTTAAGCGAGTACTGTTAGTATTTCTTTGGTGTCTTTAGCCTTATTTTGAATAGTGTCAATAAAACATATCATATTGAAGTAAGGAATGAATGTTGATGCAGCCTTGGCTAAAGCGATGCCACTTTTTGTGTCCCAACTATCTTACAAATCAGAATGGGCCATGAATTTAGAGGCAGCATACTTAGTTAAGATGGAGCAATTGCAACCCAAAAGAGCGGCTAGACTTTCAATAGTAGTGACATCCTAGATTTTCACTGTATCAGATGACAAGAATTAAAAATAGGAGGGGACAGACTCTGGTTTGGACACTGTATTTTATAATTGTTTAAGAAGATATCTAGCTAATTATAAATTTAATATAGTATTTTCGCCTTCCAACACAATCTATAATATATGATCATTTTGCATACATTCGGAGACATCTCAAAGAATATAGTGGGCAATCCTGAATAATGAGCAAAACCATGACCACCACAACTCAATCTGCACCATTCAGCACAATTGGCTACAAAGTAAGTATAATTTGACTTTGCTGCACTCAAAATTGAATGAGTCAAATTAAGCGTACTAAAGTCATTATATTAGGTGATTCTATTGAAATTTTCATTGACTATTTCTTTGATTTTGATACTTCCAAAGATACAAGCATAGAATTCAGCCAGTAAGGGGAACAACTTTTATTATTAACATTGATAATCTAATATTAAAATCTCTTATTTATTATCATCTTTAAATTATCTTCGATATAGAGAATATCGAACAGCTATAGTTAAAGCTTTACCTGCAAACTTAGTATATTGATCACAAAGTATATTTCTCATGTACAACATGCTGGCATATCCAACTTTTGGATTACCTTGTCTTTCAACTTTTCCATCAGAACTTACTTTAATGTATCTATTCAGTAAACTATCTAGAGGTGCTCGAAAATGGTCAAAAGACAAATAACCATTATCCTTAACAGCATATCCCATCTTAGGTCCTATGTCTCCAAGTTAAACACCTTCCATTGGTCTATGAGTATCCTTATCTCTTATTCTTACCCAGAATGGATGAACTCCGTGGTTCTTTCCATCTACTATCAATTGGGCAAATACCAATGCGAATTCACAATATAATCCTAATTCTCCAGGCCAAACTAAAATTATAAATTTATAAGTACATTTGGTAGCCTCAACATTCGGAGTATGTATTATAAATTCAGATGTTGTTTTATCTAAAGTAGCTACAGTCAGTATATTTTAAACGTCAGAACCATGTCCTAATTCAGATTATGCATAACATCCGAATGCATTGAAATCTTTCAATGATGGCATCCATCTTTTTATTTGATCATCGGATGCCAGAACCTAGAAGGCAGGAATAACCATGGCAAAATGAACTGTAGATATAAAGTTCCCTTAAGGACATAATACATTCGGAGTGTAGTATTTCTTATTTGCCAGATCCAGATTTTTAGCAGCTTCAATAGTTTTTTGGGCATTTATAAGGATCTTTAATAAATGAGATAAGAACTTAATCTTGTCTGGATTTGTTGAAAAAATTCTGATCTACTTTGAACAATGGATGATTGTCAAAGAAGGTTTATCTTTCTATAAAATTGTCGAAACCTTCCTTATCTCCATACAAGAGGTGTGACATCTCCAATTACGGAAACTGAGCTTACTTTCTCTCTTTGTCTAGCATCTATGCAATTTTATAATAATAAATTGAGTATATGATGTAATTGTTATGTAAATGATATAAATAATACGCACGTAAAACAAACATTACATATTTCAATAATATTCATCTTCTTCAACTTCATCAAACATAGAAATCGTAGGTTATTTCCAATTCTTTTTGGTTTCTTCATCAACTAAGGTATTTATTAAATGCACCATGAAAGCTTCTAATTTGTAATATAGTGGTTACTGCTATCTCAATTCATAAGTCCATTCTTTCTAGCTTTATCAAAATAATAAATACTTCTTCCTTCTTTCCTATAGCAATAGGAGAGTATTTATCTGCAATCCTTGCTATGGCTTCCATAAACTCGATCCATTACATTTAAAATAATCTATCGCTTTCTAATTCATCAATTTATGTAAGAGTAGATAAATTGAATGCTAGATTTACATCCCTTTCAACAAAGTTTTCATCATACAAATTTGCTCTATTGCAAATATCCTTAAGTTCATCCAAACACATAAAAGGTGCTTGACCTGGCTTCACCTTTCTGGATGAATTTCTCATATAAACGTAATCAAAAACCCACTTATATTTCTTACATACATCGTCACATTATTCTACGAAGTATCTCTCTGCTCTCCATTTATGAGAATCAAATTAGGACATGTGTGGCATACATTATTCTAATATCATTTTAGTAGCTTAGACAATGTTGATTTAGGGATTGAATCTAATGTATTTATCATCTGAGACTCTCACTAAGAATTCCATCATCTGGTATCTAACCAATGACCTCTCCGGATTTCTATAATTACCCTTGTAATCAATTGAAGAAGCACTACAAGTTGCAATAAATTTAAGATCCACATCAGCCAATTTCAATTGCTTCTAATCAATCAGTTGACATTGATTAACAAAATCAGATGTTGGATTTACAGACATTGAAAATACATCACCTGTTGGATTAACACTAGAATAAAATCTATAGGTTTCTCTCATTGGTTTATATGCTTACCATAATAGTTCTTTAACCTAATCCTGTTCTTCTTACTTTTTAACAAACTTAGAAATTTTGCAACATTACCAATCTCTTTCAAAGCATTTACGCAATAAATCCTCAGTGTCAAATTTATACTTAGGAGCCCATATAGAGATCGGATATGTCCAAATTCTTTTTTACTTTTTTCTTCTGGCAGGGATGTAGATTGGATCTTACGTTCTTGGTAAAACATCAAAATTAGGATACCAATCTTCAATAACAGGTTTCGATTTAGGATATGATTCTATATTGGTTTCATCAATCAACACATTCACAACCTAATGATGATGAGATTGAGAACCTAATCGGCTATGCTAACTTTAGTTCTGAATTTCTCGATGTGTTATTTTATAGGAACAGATTGACTTGCTACTTAGATAGCATTGGCAGTATAAAAGTACTCAATATCTCCAGTTGGAATCATTCTATGAGTTCTGAAATGACCGTGTCCATCAGGTTTCCCTAAAAAGATAGGTTCATAACCTTCGTAATCGAAATGAATGAAAATTGGTTCCTCAGAACAAGCTCCACTTTAATCTATCTCATAAATGTTATATCATACTTGGAATCCATTCGAATGTGGCCATCTACCAACGATCACAAATCCAACAGACATCCTTTACTTTCTCAAATCTTGATGCATGATCATAAGGTTTTGGATGAGGCATAACTCCTTTAATTCTTTACTCGATATGAATTGAGTTGAAATTCTTCATGCTCGAATCAATTATTAAAAACCCCTTAGAATCTACAAATCCAAAGTTCCCCCTGAAATGAAACCCATAAATCGAGTGATTCTACTTCAGAGCCTCTGATATCATAGTGCAATCTGAGAATGTGAAACTGTTGGCAGATAGATCCAAGTGTTGAATTGATTTATTCTCAATAATGAAATCCTTCAGAGCTGGAGCTATCACATTTCCACATCCTAACAAATTGTATGAGAAATCCAAAACTTTGATATTTTTATTAGTTTATAATGCTTTGAATATCTCTACACCACCGGAACCTTTAATTGAATTCCAACGCAAATATAATTCAAGCAGAGTATCGTTGGATTCTATCAACTGTTTCAAACTTTAATGTGCATTATTTGTTATCTTATTTTTGGAAATGTTCAAAGTCTCAACTGAGAGATTCTTGCTCAATGCTTTACATAATTCAATAATTAGTTGATCTCCCAAATTATTGTCTTCCAAATTTAAAACCTGAATCCTTTATATTGCATTTCAATTTACTTGCATTATTGTAAAGGTAATATCTTCAAAATTGAGTCCAAACCTTTTTCTCCAATCATATTTGTTTAAAATTCAATCTTCCTTGCTTATTTGCTAATCAAAGGCATTAATTATGAAGCCCCATGCTCTTTAATTCGATTATGATTAAAATTGAAATCCTGAATAGCTGGTAGAATCCGAAGTCCTTCAGAAAGCATCTCCACATATTTATCTCCAAATTTTTAGTTCTGTATAGAAAGTGAATTGCGATCGCCCTTGAGTTTGATCAAACCCATTTTACATGGCAAAATTCGTAATCGTTCAGATCTCTATATCAAATTAGTCTATACAGAGTCTATTTAACAATTATAATCTATGAATACTTTAAATATTCTCGAATTAGTTCTGTTCCAAAATTCTCTTAATATTTTTAAATGTATGGTAATAGGATCTGTAAGCATCCTCGCCAACCAACTCCTTGGGCTTACGATCCTCATAAGGTTCCTCATTATTATATGTCAGACTCGCAAAGACCTCCTTCTACATAATATATTGAATTCAATTAACATCATTAATGAGATCCTTCTCTTTGGTTGGTTATTGGATCTTGTAATATTGTCTGTTATAGCGTTTGGGCATACTCACATCATCCAATCCACTCAAATACGGCAGTTACTTCGCAATTGAAATCTTCGGCAAAGCCATTGATCTCATCGAATATTTACCCTACATAGACTCAAACTCATACTAACTTCCTGCCAGTCTCACTTTCTACTGTAGTGATTTGAATATCTTCCATTTTTTAAATATAATACAAACAAATAAATTAAACCAAAACTCTCAGTATCAATTACCCATCTCAAAGGTTTCCTTCTCACTCTCATTAGTGTCCTCCTTACCTACTCGAGCTCTCTCCATCACATGCTCAGTCAATGTCTTGATCAGACTCTTCCGATTAAGTTTCTTCCTCTAAATCGTTACAGATTTCGATATCCCATATAAATTTTGTTATTCATCACTCTTCTTCTCTAATCTCTTCTTTTTTTGAAATTCTCCATATTGAATTTAAACTGGTCTGACATCAGACAACTTATTTAGTAGTTGATCACCATACTTATGAAATCCAAATTAAAAAAGGCAATATTGTTTCTAGTTCCTTGTCAAATTTATCAAAAAAAAAATCCTTAATCTATAACCCATTCTCAGGATTCATAATAAAAGAGAAAACTGAATTCTAAATATTGAAACAATATTATTCTTACATCAACAATCACAACGTCTTTAAGATCTCTCCCCAATTTAGTTAAATCTTTAGTTAATCCATTTTTGAAAGGTGTACAACTATCTCTAAATAATCTTTCCACGGCTTTCCTATCTGGATCAATATAGTCCATTACTGGCATGGCATACTCCTTTAAACTAGCTGTCCACAAAATTATGTCATAGAATTGATTAAGTTAATCAAAGAATTACTTAATTCCAGGACGGACAATCACAAATACTTTAAAATTCTGTGATTACACCACAATCTACTTCTATTATATGAATTACATCAAGTGCCAAATCATAAGAATCAAAGTGCTAAAATTAACTATGTACTAATGTTTCATCTAAGTCTAAAACAATTATTTTCCTTTGACCCTATATAAAATCCCAGTCTCATACAATAAATGACGATTTCGGACTATCTATTTCTGGATGATATTAATTCTCTTGCTTAGGATTCTTTTTGAAATATTCAAAGCAAGAACACAATCGAGACAAAAATGATCTTTTTTCTTAAGGTTAAGAGTAAATGATTTAATTGTTTTACATTTATATATATAAAAATATTGTTATCAATTTATAAAATCAGTCAACTATCTTCTAAATATATGTCTACTTGTTGATTTCTGTACATCACTCTCATCATCCCCTATAATTTTCACTTAAATTTTCCTATTAAATGACACCCTCTTGGGAGATACTGTCTCAATCTTTTTTGGTGAGAGAATTATCGAACATTGCAAAGGTGCAAGTGTTACATGTTTATTGTTTCGAACAACTTATTATTATTCTACCTCAACTGACTCAAAAAAATCAAAAATGTCAGAGTGCCTGCTGCTATTTGATCCTTTCCTTTTCAAAATGCTCTTGGGTTGACTATTGTCCTTTGTAGATATCCCTTTATCATCAATTTTTCTTAATAGTCCTCTTTATAAATTTGGTGACTCCTAATTGAAACTAACTTTCTTATCTTTCAAACTCTAAATAACTCTTTAGGTTTAAGATTCATAGAGCTAATCACTATATCGACCAGATATCATAGCATCTTAAGCTCTACTAGTATTAGGAATATTTTAAAGAGATCTGAATTATTAATAGAGTGGTATCTCAGGCAGAAATTGAATTCTAGATTAAGGTCGAGAATATTAATCGAGCATTTTGAAATCCGAGTTTCTATTGTACATTAATAAATAAATAAATGATTTAATAATGAACTGATTTAATTTAGAAAATAAAGATATTATTGTTCAATATTAGAATAATTCATAATTAATTAAATTCAAATATTGGTTTTACTGATTCACTTGATTTAGAAAGAAATAAATAAATGAATACTATTATTATATATCACACCTCTTCTAAAACATCATGCATAAACATTTGTATATATAGGTAAACAAAAGGTGCACTAAAACATAGGGAATCAAGCTAAAAATATAACAAATGAAAGTACTCTATCAAGAATACCTCCATGACCAGGAAAGAGTGAGCCAGAATCCTTGACATCAGCAACTCTTTTGATGAAGGATTCAATCAAATCTCCAAAAATAGATGCTATAGAAACAATCAAGGAAATTAATAGGAAATGCTTTGTATGGAGATTGCCCAAAGTGATAAAAGATAAGAAATTTGTTTGGGAGAGTATGAGTGAGGAGAAGACACTTAAGAATATACCTCCACTGACTCCCTCCCATGTTTTATTTGGTGAGATTTTTGGACAAAATAATGTTTTACCAAACATGGAACCCATGAACAAAGCACCATTATCAGTTTACCAAGCAGATATCAACCAAATCAGATTCAAGGCTTAAGCTTATTTAAATTGAAAAACTATCAAAACAAAATTGAGAGGATAGACAAATAACATGAATTCTAATGATATGAGCAATAGCAATTACATACTATATCAGCAGACATTTGGAAGAATGTTAACATTTAAATTTTCTTTTCAACCATATGACTAGGAAACTTATCTGAGATAGTTCTAAAAATATAAATAGTGAGATAGTGATTACTTCTCATTTTATTTTAAGAAATCGCTAATTTTTAGATAATTCATTAATCTAACTAGAAGTAAGAAGAAAATGGATATGACCATATGTAAATGAACACTTAAAGGATTGCTCTGCATTATAGATATAGTAATAAAATAATGAGTAGGAATTCGAATGAACTATTGATACTTAAATATTATAAATACCCAAGAGGATGCCATGGTTTCTACATACCAACGATCTGAATCACTGCAATTATGTTTAAGCACATTGGAAATCAATTTTTAAAATTCTGCATGTAACAAATAGAGTACCACTAGAAATATTATATTATATGTATACCATTAATTAGGACACAAAGTGCTAACTAATTTTAGATTGTGTACAAAACAATGGGACCTCCAATCAATCCTGTAACAAATCTTTGAGTCCAATTAACCATTAATTAATTAAATGTTTCATGAGTTTCTATAAGAGTTAGGCACATTAAAAAATGCAGAACTTCCTTTCCCTTTCCGTAACTAATTCAAAATAAAGGAGAATTTCATTAATCCTAATAGTAAACATTTCGAATCCATAGCCTAAAAGTTTAGAAATCATTAATATTGTTTTAGATTATTATCTGAAGAGAAGGCTGGAATTAAACGTAAATGGGACAAACAATGCAAAATGATGTTTATTTGGATATTAGGTAAGTTCTTTTAACTCAAAAACAAAAAGACCATAAATCCAAACTAAGAGGAATGGATCTAATTAGCATCTATACTTTAGATTGATGAAACTACACTTAAATAAAGATGGATTACTTTGATCAATCCAGTTTCCAAAAGTATCAACTGGGATCCAGAGGAAGATGAAATCATTAAATCACTTATGCAGTGAGTTTATACCTATAATTTAGTGAGTAAGATGAAAAACATATATGGACACATATAGCACTTGAATTATATAATCAAAATAATGGACAATTCATTAGAACACCCAAATAAGTTAGAGAAAGATGGATGAATTACTTGAATCCAAAACTTAAAAAGTATCCTCACTTATTAAATACAATAGAACTAATTGGAGTCAGTAAGAAGATCTTCAATTATTAAACACAGTAGTCAAAAATGGCAAGAGATGGTCCCTTATATCCACTTTGCTTGAAGGCAGGACCGAGAACTAAGTCAAAAATAGGTATAAATCTACACAATAATCCTATAGATTCAAAAGTTTAATATAGAAAATATATAAGGATGAAGAAGATGACGATATTGAAGAACTCTAGGCTATCAAAGAATACTTAAATAAATAAAACATAGAAGAGGAATAAGAACCTCAAAAAGAAGAACCTTAAGTTCGAACTCAATATTCAAGATAAGCAAAATTAAAATTTAATCTGAGAGAGAAGAAAAAAGAATTAATTCAAGAACCTCCTGTAATAGTTCCTTAAGAACCCTAAACCAAAAGGAGGAAAATAAGTTCTCAGATTAAGGATTTCCTAAACATAGGCCCAGACCCTATCGTTTAATAATCATAAAAAATATAATAAACTCAAAAGACAAAACATAAGGAACATAAATCTAAATAATAAATCTAATAATAATAACAATAACAATAACAACAATAATAAAATACAAGATAATAATTAGAATAAATTATTAATAAATAAAATGATGATTAATTATTGGATCAATCAGCTTTCCAACTAGATTAATAGCAAAAAATCCTTTCACAATAATACTAAATACCCTAATTATCATTAAATGAAAACAACAAGAGAGACTTATCCACGCCAAACACCTTATCTTATTATTTTTAACCATAACTCCAATAATTGGAAGAATTGAAGAATGATCAATTCAGATTAAAATAAGTATAAATGTCTCCTGTTCAATAATAATAAAATCAAGTACTTTATTAAGGTTTTCGACCATATCAAGAGGAAATTCCTTAATAAATCTAATAGACTCCTGTTTAAATGTTAATGGGACAATATTTTAAGAATTATCCATAAAATTATAATCTTATATCCCCATTTCAATAAATCAACTAAACACCTATGGTTTACACACCTGCACAGCCAATGTATATGTACAATAACAACAACAATGCCTATATGGGTATGTCGCCCTTACTCATTCGAAGTCCATACCAAGAGATGTCTCCAAGTGTTTAGCCTTAATAAGCACCTCTATAGTAGTAGTAGTAGAATTTATGGTAAACTCCACAATAGAGTACTATTGAATAGATGTAATGCGATTAGTTAAAGCAATAATAGTTTTTACAATTAAATAGTAATTAGAATACAAATTTGGAATTTCTAAAAACTAGCAATTTACTTAATACATGGATGTAAAAAAGAACTAATGAAAAATAAAATCAACCATTTTAAGACTCATTACCATAACTTGATTAATGATATGTTTAATGTATTAAATTATATATATCATTAATAGTATGTATGTTTCAAAATATGTAAATTTCTAATCAGATTACTTAAATTTTTTTTACTCTTAAAAATGTTCTTGATAGTTTGAAATCAAAAATTAATATTGAAAATACAGAATCCTAATGAAATTTCTTTAAAATAGCAACTTTTTCACTCTATACAAAATAAGATTAAAATACTGATTGTTGTTCTTAACAATTTATTTATTTTTAAATAGAAAGAAATTATTAAAATATATGATTATAATTTTAAGGAGAAAAGTGAATATAAATTATAAAATTCTTGAAGCAATTTTTATAGATAATTATAAAAAATTCATTATCTTTTTCTAATCCGTTTACTTTATTTTTCCATTCTATTCATGAATTTATTTATTGTGTCTTATTCATCTTTTGTTAAGTATGTACCAGTTAAATTGAATTCTTTAGATAATTAGTTATACAATTCAATTTCTTATTCTTATTATTTTTTAGTAACTTTTCGGATAATTTCTTTTCTATCAAGATTATAATCATATATTTTCTTTGATTCTTATTTAGATAAGGTATTATAAGCCTCGCTAATCTCTTAGAATTAGATGATTGCTTAGGTCCTATTGTTCATATTCTTGTCCTAACTTAGTTTAAACAATATTATTATACTGGATGGCATTCTAATGCCAATTTATGGTAAGCTTCCTTTATTTGCTCTTATTTGGCATCTCTCTCTAGCCCTAAAGTATGATAATGATTTTTCATTATTTTATCATAAATTAATCATCAAATCAAATCAGAATTTATTACTTTATCGAGATTTTAGAAATTCTGGAACTTTTTTAATAATTTTAATTTAAAATAATTATTTGTATTAAGAACAATTTAAAATCAATCTTCTGTTGGATTGCCTAGTATTTAGAAGAATTTCCTCTGAATCCCAGCTTATCCTCTTAATTTAACATATTCTGCAAAGACTCTTAGATTAGCAGAGAATGCACCAATGATTTATGAGACTAACTACCTTTTTATTCTAAAGCCAAATGAATAAAATACATTACCTCTTTTCTCTGGTTAATTAATAATTGTATGCTTTTTCTCTCCATTCTCCTCCTCTATCTTCACTTTATATATTTTTGGCAGCCAATCTAGCATTATAATCAGCTAAGTCTGTCATTTAATCATGGATTCTATAATCTAAACCTAAAATGGCATCAATTAATACAGCAAGAGCATTATTTAAACTGGTTAAATCCTTGTCAAAGTTATCCTTTTCCAATACAAACATCTTCAATCTTTTTTTGTTGAGCCTTAGTTTCCAAAGCTTTGCTATCTTCAATTTAATTCAACCTGCGGATCGCAGAGATTGACAATTCTGTTTACAGTGGGTGAATTTTAGAAATCTTCACATTAAGCAGCACTTGTAATTTCAGCTAAAACATTAAACATTTTCAAATAACTCTTCTTGATTTCAAATTTCTTTAATTTTTTTAATAGACAATATACCTTGCTTATTTAGAAGCATTAATAAAGTAATCTCTAACTTATTACCATTTTGATTCATTATTCAATTATAAGAAACTTTAACCTTTATCAGAAAACATTCTTCTAACTATTTCAATGACAAATGTTGCATAATCATGTTCTTCAACTTTTTTATCGAATTCAGCTTTTTCAGTTTCTCTCTTCTTTACTAAATCAGCTAATTTCTTTTCTGTTTCTACTTTCCATGCATTCTTAGCATCAGCTTATCCTTATTTGCATGATCTTAATGTTTCTAATCCATTCAAAATTGATTGAATTTCAACTGATCTTCTCTCTAAATTAGCACTTCTTATTATAATATTTTGATGTCCTCTGTGCATTAATTTTAATATTCATTATTAGCTTTGTCATCTTCTTTTTATTCATTCTCAATTGAGGTTTCATAGCTTCTAATAATTTCAATAAAATGTGCAATAGGTTCACCTGTACTCATTTGCATATATAATGTATCAATCAATTATCTACCAAACTCATCTTCATCAAATGTTTTGAATTAATCAAATTTGTCTCTTATAGCTAATGCTATTAATAAAAGCACAAAAATTTTCATTTACATATTATTAAAAACACATTTAATTATGACTTATAAACTTCATATATATAAGTATGAAAATTAAACATATATAATAAATAGTTTTTTCTATATATTTTAGGTCAACAATAATTATGGGATAACACATTAGGGCATAAAAGAATACAAAAATCACAAACATAATAATGTTATAAGTATACCTTCTTTTATAGAATTATTTATAATTCAATATTATAAGAAATATTCTGTAAATCAATTAGTATTGGTTAGTTTAAAACTTCATCACTATTCATGGTCTTTTAAACCAATCTTATTAAAAATAATTTTATAAGAAAATCTTTTATTTCTAAAGGTATTATTATTATTAATATATGAAGACTTATCAATTTAAATTACAAGTTGATGATGCTTATGATTTGCAAGTTTCAACTTTGTGTTGGAAGTATCATAATTGTGACGAGACCAAAACAGCTACAATAAAATCTAGGGATGACATTATGGTTTTATTTGAGATACAAGCATATCCAGGTTCAATTGAATATTGGTATGTAAATTATAAAGGAGATGCAGAATATGCCACAAGAAATATGAATTTAGAGAAAGACCCTAAAATTGATCGGTTTAACTATCTTAGTTTAATTGTTTAATGCTCTATTAACTCATAGAATTTTTAACAATATAATTCGTTGTATTATATAGGCCAAGGTAAACGTAAATTGATAAATTTTGATGGGGAAACCTTAATTTATATTCCTTTATGGTATAATGAAGCTCAATTTCTAATTGAAAATTAGGATGATGACGAAAAGTAATTAGAAATTAAATTTCATATTCCTTTAGAAGAACTATCTCCTAATAAAAACTCATTGTAATTAGAAATCTTTCGGAATGATTTAGAAAATTGTTTATCTAAATAAGATAAACGTTTCAGATAATAAAATGGACGTATTAATTTCCACATTGATGACTCGAGAAAAAGAGATTTTGATGACATCATTATATTTCAACAAAACTAAGTTCAAAAAGAGGCTGATAGGCAGTCAAATAGCTTGGGTGGTCTCATTTAATAGATTCGCACAATGGATTCAGATTTATTATCCTCAAAATGTTACCAATCATTTAAAAAGAGAGATAACTTTTTTCAAGAGACATAGTAGCCATAGAATACATTTAAGTATATAAATAAAAAATAATCTTAAATTTTGTAAAGAGATTGTAAACCGATATCAAAGTTTTGTACTACTGAACACAACTTTTATCCAAAAGATGGAAATATTAAAGATTTAAACAATACTGGTAGATAACTTTTAAGTAAAATAGAACTAGATAAATTGGTGGAGAAAAGTAGGTAGAGTGATCAAAAAGATGAAACTGAAGAAAAGGACACTATGGTATACACAATTTTGTAACCAATTAATTGTGATCCTTCATTATATCAACTTGACAATATAACATTAATAAAATTACTATAAGAAAAAGACAATGAGATCAAAGAATTAAACACAAATTATCAATCAGAAATCAATAATTTAATGGTAAAAATTTAAAACTTGAACATAAAATTGAATGAGGAAAAAGAACATGCTCAAGATTTATCAAGATTAAATTGGTTTAAAGTTATTTAGAATTATAGAAGTAGGAGATACTCACCTCAAAGGATAAGTAAAACTTACTCATAGTCAACGGCTAATTTAATGAAGATCAATCCTTAACTATCTTTTGCTAAAGATGTAATAAGTTAGAATAGTTCATCAATTATTCCATGTTCAACTAAGTTGGGTATAAGAAAATAGAATGATAGAAGAGCAAAAACCATTAAAACGGAAGCTTCAATTCCATATTAATGAAAAGTTTTGCAATTTTAATCAATTATTAAACTATTATAATTAATTAATTAATAAATTTTTTTCCTAACTATTTTACTAACAATTTAAAGTCTCTGAAAAGACAATTGATAGAAATCATTTTTTATTTAATTTGAATAAAATAAAAAAATGAATATAGCCTGTATACGGGCAGAATTTGAATAAACAAAGGAAGACCGCATCAAAAAAGTAAAAATCTCTCAGTCGAATGAAAATTTTCTTCACATATTAATAAAAGAGTTATTGGTTTGAAATAAAATTCACAAAAAAACAAGAGAGATAGAAAATTTTAAAAGAATTATTAATTGAGAAAACAAAAAATTATAAATAGTGTTCAGAAATTAAGCAGAACAAAATTAAATAAAATAAATACTTAATTGATGATCAATTGAACTTATTTAATTTGGTAGCTCAAAATTAATAATTTCTAATAATATTACAATAATTAGGATTCAAAAGTTAACTTAAATTACAAAAAATCAATGCCTCCATTACAATTTTTATCAAAATGTTGGAAAATCATACTTGCATTCTCATTTTTTTTAATTAAAAGCTCAAACATTGTTGATTAAAATATGGTTACCTGAGAAATTTTACGAATTTGACTAGATTGAGCACTTATTCAACATAGCTATCAAATAATTTAAATAATTTTAGCTAAACTTTTTCTTATTCCTCTATTATATCCTTAATTTTCTTTAATTCTATTTCCATTTCAGCAACTATATTAATGTTCTTTTTTCATATCTTATATAAGAAAAGTAAATTAAGTTAAAATCCCTTAAGTCTTATTAACTAGAATTTTATGATAAAATTGTATTGAAAATTATTCAAAAATTAAAAAATCAAATTATATCAGGCTTAATTTGTTGTAAATTTAATCGAACTTTATGTTGCTAAAGATATATTTAAAACTCGAAATCATTTTTCTTATATTTAAAGTCATTAATAATGAATTCTGCCTATGTCTCCATATTTATAACCTCATCTACATGCTCCTTAAATTTTGGATTAATTCATTAATCCCTTTAAAGATCATTCCAATCCATGCTTTTATCCTCATTTACTTAGGGCATTTCAATAAAAGCCTTTAGCTTCTGCTGAAATATAAGATGAAAATTAGACTGGGCATCTCAATTTTGTATTAAATAATTAGGATATGGAATAAAAATGTTATCTTTTAAAATCAATATAAAATTTCAATAAAATAAATAGTGCCTGCATACATGGAGTTCCTGAAAATGCCTCCGATCGTTCATATTTCACATTTACTAGTATTTCTTTAAAAATTAAATATACATAAAGCAAAACCGAAAACTAAATTAAAATTAAAATTATAAATTACTTCTAATTTAAAAGTATTTTAGTAGACAAGAATATAAGCAGGCTTCAAAGCACGATGTAATACCGTATTGTAATAATTCAATAAAGCCATTCAGAATATCTGTTCAAATTCTTACGCTGTTAAAAACTATTTTTTCAAATCCGTAGATCTAAATCGTTTTAATATTCTTGAATTATAAATAATTATTTTATGATTCCAGAGTTCTAATAAATAAAAAAACAACATTTTTTCCCTTAAGGTTTTGAATAATTGATAACTCTCTTCTTAAGCCTTCCATAAGATATTTGCCATTAAGAATGTTTTGGTTTGGAAACATTTTCATATCATTTTATCAATTATTTGTAGTAATCATTTAAATTTAATTATTGAATAAATTATGTTAAACCCTTCTACACTCAGGTGTAGATGTCAATTCAAGAAATGTCAGACAAGTTAGTTGAGAGAATCAAAAAGCTAATAGGAATGGAATGTGAACCATATTCTAAACCAAAAAAAGTTACAACCAAATGATTTATTCATCATCACATATTGAATAAAATTAAATATATAATTTTTTTCTTATTTTAAATTATTTTTATTATGTTTCAATCTCTTTAAAAACTTTTGCAAAAGACTCTACTCAAAGAATATCTGTCATTTAAGAATTTATATTTATCAACAATTTTTACATTCATTATTAAATATAATGTAGATATATCATTTAGTTTCTGGCCATTTTTCATTGATTCTATCTGCAGCCCTGGTTGTATTAAAATGTTCAAGGGCATCTTTAATTCCTTCTGCTCCTTATAATAGGACTCCTCTTGGAATACGTTTATCAGGACATAGTCCTTTTAATTTGATGATATTTTCTCTTTCCTACCTGAGTACTGTTTGCATTTTCATCATTTTGGAAACAAAAGAGATTTTTGATTTGGTTATATCAATTTATTTTTTGGTTATTTGCTGTAACTTTCCTAAAGGACGAGTGTTAGATTAAGATTATCCCAATGTTTATTATTTGATAATAACTTAAGCATTTGGTATTTCATCATCTGAATCGTCTATTTTTTCACCAGGTCTTGGTTATAAAACATAATTAAGCATCTCAGTTACCTTTTCTGTAACAAATGGTATCGACCATGAAAAAATGTCTAAAAAGTGAGGTAGCAAATATGGATGCTAAGAGTAACCAAATTATGAGATGTTAAGTGTGCAATTTTCGAATTTTAAAATTGCTGCCTTATTATTATATACATCGCAATAATTAGGAGCACTAAATATAGTCAATACTTAAGGGAACTCCTTTATTTTTTCATTGTATTTATATAATCTATATCCTTCTAATTAAGCTTCATGAGCCCTAATTAAGCAAATAAACTTATTATTGTCTAATAATGGTTGAACTGCCTTTTCTCCAAAAAACCAACTACAACCTCTAGTATCATTACCTCTATAATGAATTTCATCATAAAGTTCTTCATTTTCGACTGGGTCAGCCCATAAAATATCACAAAATAATCCCGCCTTCGGTGGTTCTCTAAATCTATCTATTCTTTCAACGTCTGCTAACTAATTGTATATTATTCTATTCATACTGATTTTAGATCTGGAGATATACCACCATGTAAACATAAGAATTTATTATTTATTAGGGCTACCAAAGGCATATTGTCAAATGATGTCATGATAGCTTCGTAGACTTCTTAGTCATATTTATATAGACATTCATCTCTAAAATTGAAGTAGCTTGTTAATTATTTGCATTCATGATTTCCTCTAAGGAGAAACACTCTTGTAGGATAGTAAATTTTCATAGCATATAATAACACAACTACTTCGATTGAAAAGGAACCTCTGTCGACATAATCACCTAAAAAAACATGTAAATACACAAATAATCATACATATTTGCCTTATTCTGGATCACCTCCCATTTCGAGTACTTTGATTAAATCATAGTATTATCCATGAATATCACCCACCACAGTTAGAGGATCATCGACATAAATTACATTACCTTCATTTTTTAAATGGTAATTGCATATATCAACTAATTTCATTAACTAGCTTTTTGTTATTCTTCCTTCCTTGAAAAGATGTTCTTTCAATAGCTTCCAGTTAGGTTTCTCATCTATGAAAAGTAACTCATCACTTAATGGTCGATGAGGTGGAGTGGGTATCGTATTTACTTGTCTATCCCCTTTCGGGTCTTCTAATAAATCCATTAATTATTTTAACTAAATTATGGAGGTGAAAAATTACAATGGATGGCGATTCTGTCCCAGATGCAAGAATCTACTCAAACCATTTCATGATGGGGCAGATACTGAGATATTACAATTCAAATGTAGAAATCAGGATTGTGGAGACAATGGAATCATTGAAGTCAAAATTGATAAGACATTAAATAAAGATGCTCTTTTGCTCAAAAAGGATTATCAAGCAGCTAAAGCAATTGATATCACTGATAATACTCTTATTCTTGATCCATCAATGCCAAGAAAAAGGGTAATTTGCAACAAGTAATAAATCTTGTGTATTCAGATGCAATTATGACGAGGCAATCTATTTTCTCAAAACAGATAAAAATGAAAAGGAAATAATTATTCAATATATTTGTGCCAATAAAACTCCAATCTGTGGAAATAAGTGGACGTAAAATAATTTAATTTATTTTTAGTTAAAAAGAAATGAATGAACCCAAATTAACTTTATAATGAAAATTTCACATTAAAATTTATATTTATTTTATCCGTTAATTATTTTGCATATGAATACAGCTCTTAGATAACCATTATCGTAACATAACTCAATTGACAAAAGAGAAAACAAGCAAGATAATAAATAAGATTTGAAATCATTTACATTTATTAAATCCAATACACTAAATGTATAATCATAATAATAGTCATAACAATAACTATTATTATAATAATAATAGTAATGGTAATAATAGCAATAATAGTAATAATAGTAATTACTGTAATAATCATAACAATAATACTAATAAATTAATAAAATCTCATCTTAAACGACTATTATTGCTACAACAACTAATAATAATAACAAAATCAATAACTAAATTTAAGATTTAGAAACATTCATTAAAGAAATAGATAGGTTATAATTAGAAAACTAATAATTAAAAGTGAAGGCCTAAGAACCTTAATTAATTATATAATCAGATCCTAAAGTAGCCATTGAGAATCAAGATCTTAAAGTATAAATAATTATTAATATTCAATAGAATCAAGTGGATTACTAAAAATAAAAATTTGAATTATAAGAAAAAACACACAATGAAACTGTCAGATCCATGGATTTGAGTTGGAAACAAGACGTCGTAACTATGAAATTTTAGATGGAACAATAAGAATCAAAGCATAGATAAGCTCTTAAGTAGGAATAAACTTAGGCAAAACAAGAAATTGCTAGACTTTAATAAAATTTAACATAAATATCAAATTCTGAAAATAAAAATCAAAACTTAGTATCAGTATTGGTAAATTATTAAATATGATAAAATAGGAAAGGCAATTAATAAACCTAAAAAAAAGTAATAATGTTCTTGAAGAGAAATTATCCTAAGCAATTTAATAGTTCGACTCTCAATCCAAAGATCAAGAATTCACTTTATTAAAATAACAAGCAATAATTACTTCATAAGAGTAACATGTTTGTGAATTGAAAAATAAGTTAGGATTTTAAAGAGAATAAAATTCAGGTTTAAGCAATTAATTAGAAAAAGTAAAGGAAGTGGCAGAATAGAAGAAGTAAAGTGAAAATATCTTGACAAATAAAATCAAATAAGTAGAAAGTGATTTTGATCATTTGTAATAGACATATTAATATCATAAAGAATAATTATAATAGAAAATAAATGAATTAACTGGCATGTATGGTAAATCATAAGAACAAATTTGTTTATTGCAATAGTAATAGACTAGAGAGCAGAATTAAATAAAGAGATTGGAAGTGAATTTGGAAAATGAGGAAAAGAATCATGAATAAGAAGTAAAAGATATTCATAAATCAAAATAATTGTTGATTGAATTTTTGGAATAAGAATTGTTAGGATATAAGGAATAAAATCAATAATTAAAATTGGTTAATTAAAAGTTAGAAAATTAGCATCAGGAATAATAATAATATTTTGGTAAAAATTTTCGAGAATTGGAATGTAAAACCAATATGCTAGGGGAAGAATGTAGTAGATTGAATAACATAATAAAATAGAAGGACGATCAAATTTATAGATTGTAGATTCAACTAAAAGATTTGATGAGTTTGAATGGAAAGAATCAAAATTAGGAAGAATTATTAGAATCATTATAAATAAAAGAAGAAGAGATAAACCTACTAAAATAGTAGAATGAAAGTTTGATAAATGATTTATCAAGATAAACAGACAATTACAGAAATTTGGCTAGCCAACATAAACAATTACAGAAATCTGCAGAGGATACTAAACTTAATAGTATCACAATGAATGAGTTCATTAGTAAATGCGAACTTTAAGAAAGAGAAGTAGAGCGATTAAGAATGAAGGTTTTGGAGAAATCATAATTGTTGGAGAAAGTTCAGAAAGAAAATTTAGAATATTAAGCCAAATTGAAGTCAAAGTTAAGATGAGAATTACTATATATATAAAAAATTATAGTCAGAGTATTAAACAGCATTTGTTTTCGTTGGGTTGGCTTTCATTCTCTATGTTATATATCTTCAAATTTTCGACTGTGTAGATTTAATGAATATCAGGTTTAAAAGTAACTTCATGTTTACCTTTGCCTCTTATGATGGGTTGATTACCTGTCATAGCGGGTTTTGGGAGGTTATTACCTATCCTTCACTAAGATGGTCTAAGGATAAGTGTCTGTGTAAAATGGATTGTTGGGAGTAATTTTATGATTGGGTTACATATATATTAATGTAGTAGTGATAACGAACTAAAAGTAACAAATTAAATTCAAAAAAAAAGTAAAATTTAAAATGTTAATTGAACAAGGTGAACCAAAGATCATCGTAGCAGTTCGGAAAAGACCTTTGAATAAGAAAGAAAGCAATAAAGGTGATATTGATATTGTTGATGTCTCAAATTAATAAAGTTAAGTGATTGTCAAAGAATAAAGGTATTCCCTAATTATTCATCGCATTTTAGAACCAAAGTTGATCTCACCAAATATATTGAAGAGCATTAATTTAATTTTGATGCAGCCTTCGATGAAAATACCACTAATGAATAGTTATATTTGCAAATCGTACGACCCATAGTTGAAGCAGCATTTAATAAAGCCAAAGTAACATGTTTTGCTTATGGATAAACAGGATCTGGCAAAACTTACACCATGTTAGGTGATTATCAAGAAAGAGTTCCAGGATTATATTTATTGGCAGCATATGACATTTTTTGTTTACTAAATAATGAATGTTATGGCCATCTTCAAATTGCAATCTCGTTTTATGAAATCTATTGTGGCAAGTTATTTGATCTCTTAAATGAAAGATCACTACTTCAACCAAGAGAAGACGCCAAAGGTAATGTCAATATAGTTGGTTTACAAGAAAGAAAAGTATAATCTGTAGAACAACTTATGAAAGTAATCGAACAAGGAAGTGCATCTAGAATTACAGCATCTAACTCATCAAATAGTGATTCCTCTAGATCTCATGCTATTTTATAAATCACACTAAAAGATGGCTCTAGATCTCATGGTAAATTGTCATTCATTGATTTGGCAGGAAGTGAAAGAGGAGCTGATGTCAGTGATACTAATAAATAAACAAGATTTGATGGAGCTGAAATTAATAAGTCTTTATTAGCATTAAAAGAATGCATAAGAGCTTTGGATTTGAACAAAAATCATACTCCCTTTAGAGGATCCAAGTTAACCTTAGTTTTAAAGGATTCCTTTATTGGAAATTGTAAAACAGTAATGATTGGTAATTTCTCACCGTCCAATTCATCCTCTGAACATACCCTCAATACATTAAGATACGCTGATAGAGTTAAAGAACTTAAGAAACCAAATGATAAAGAATTAAAAGATTAAGTTACCTCTTTAGATAAATTGGCAAGGGAATTAATGTTGCCGAGATAATAATAACCTGTTAAAATGTAGAAATAGTCTTAAAATTCATAATAACTATAATAATAGCCATAATTTAATCCATTTAAAAATAATCCATTATAAAATTATTAAAATTAAAATCTATTTCAATAAACTTAATTATTAAATTTACAAAACTCTATACCTGGAATGATATCGTAGTAATCATAATAACCTACTTATCCCTTTTAAAATTTTGTATAACCCCCTCCATAACCATAGCCAGTCATACCTTTATAGTAATAATAATAACCATAATTCAAAATAAATGATTCAAAAAATAAATTGTCATACAGTAAACCAACAAATTAAATGTAAGAGCCAAAATCTTATTTGAATGAGAATCTATTTCCAGGATAAATAGAAAGAAAATAAAGTATATTAATTATTTATGTAGAAATTAATTAATCAAATGAAGATGATTTGATGAAAATAGGTTAAAAACATGAATAATTAATAAGCGTTATACTTGAAGAAGAAGAAAACTTAATCTCAACTCACAGATCTCATATTGATTAGATGGTGGAACTAGTGAAATAAGTATAAAACAATGTCAATAATTAGGAAATGATGTTATTACATAATATAGACAAACCTGGATCAGATGTAGATGAATATGTGAAAGGACTTGAATAAATTTTGTTGACAAAGATTGACGAAATTTAAACGTAATTAAAATTTCTATGAATGTAGACTATAATCCCAATTACAAACTTTTAAATATCATTTATCCGAAGAGGAAACTCTGTAGAAGCAATTCTATTAGTAAAGATAATAAATATCTCAGCAAGAAATAGAGTGTTCCGAACTTTTTAAGTGATAATTGATAAACAATTTTATTATATCATTTTATTATTAATACAATTGACATCTCAAATTTAAAATACACAGTGACTTACTAATCCAAATAATTGGTTGTTGTAAATACTATTGGAATGCTTCTTCTTGCAGTTGTATTCTAGGCCAAATTATTAAATTCAGAATCTTCAGAAACTCTTCTTAGAATTATTCCAACCATTAAATCTACTTCTCTAACAGTGGTATGAACAAAAGCACTTAAATTCTATTTTGCCACTCCATGATTATATCTATTATATTAATTTTTTTGTTGTTCTTCAAAAATTTGTTCACCAAATTTTACTTCTTATTTTTAATTCTCTTTTTTGCATCTTCTTTGCTTCTTTATTAACGTTTTTTTTCCTCTTTCTTTATTCTTATTTAGTATCTTTTTACCTGTTTTTGGATCTACTATAAAATCAGGTTCAGGTGACTTATTTTCTCTTCCTCTTTTTATAGCCATTTCTCAATATCAAACATATCCATAATAAGCTTGGAATATTCAGCGTTAAACCTTTAATCAGAGTAAAATTCTTGCATAACTTTCATATCATCTGCTTTTACAAAATATATATATATTTTTTTTATAGTAATTCTGCTAATGTATCAATGAATCTTACCTAATCAAAAACTCTTTCATAAGAATAAGTTATAATTGGAGAGGATCATCAGGATTTTATTGTGGTTCACTAGAAACGACGTTCCATTAATCAATTAGACCTGTATTATATCTCTCTGTAGCATTATCATTTAACCATTCATACATGATTACAATAGTTTAGATATTTATGTAACCACTTGGAATTGTATTTTAAAATGTATTACTAACAGAAAGTAAAAATAAAATTTCATGAATAATTATCATTTTTAGATAAGATTAACAAATTTTGATTAAGATATATTTTTTACTTCCTATTTATTATCCATCTTAGGCGGAATTAAAATTTATTTTTTTATTTCAAATCTAATATAAATGAAGCTTCATCAGTTGAGACTAAAAAGTTGTTTAATACTTAGCTCAAACAAGAAGACCGTNGATTAGATGGTGGAACTAGTGAAATAAGTATAAAACAATGTCAATAATTAGGAAATGATGTTATTACATAATATAGACAAACCTGGATCAGATGTAGATGAATATGTGAAAGGACTTGAATAAATTTTGTTGACAAAGATTGACGAAATTTAAACGTAATTAAAATTTCTATGAATGTAGACTATAATCCCAATTACAAACTTTTAAATATCATTTATCCGAAGAGGAAACTCTGTAGAAGCAATTCTATTAGTAAAGATAATAAATATCTCAGCAAGAAATAGAGTGTTCCGAACTTTTTAAGTGATAATTGATAAACAATTTTATTATATCATTTTATTATTAATACAATTGACATCTCAAATTTAAAATACACAGTGACTTACTAATCCAAATAATTGGTTGTTGTAAATACTATTGGAATGCTTCTTCTTGCAGTTGTATTCTAGGCCAAATTATTAAATTCAGAATCTTCAGAAACTCTTCTTAGAATTATTCCAACCATTAAATCTACTTCTCTAACAGTGGTATGAACAAAAGCACTTAAATTCTATTTTGCCACTCCATGATTATATCTATTATATTAATTTTTTTGTTGTTCTTCAAAAATTTGTTCACCAAATTTTACTTCTTATTTTTAATTCTCTTTTTTGCATCTTCTTTGCTTCTTTATTAACGTTTTTTTTCCTCTTTCTTTATTCTTATTTAGTATCTTTTTACCTGTTTTTGGATCTACTATAAAATCAGGTTCAGGTGACTTATTTTCTCTTCCTCTTTTTATAGCCATTTCTCAATATCAAACATATCCATAATAAGCTTGGAATATTCAGCGTTAAACCTTTAATCAGAGTAAAATTCTTGCATAACTTTCATATCATCTGCTTTTACAAAATATATATATATTTTTTTTATAGTAATTCTGCTAATGTATCAATGAATCTTACCTAATCAAAAACTCTTTCATAAGAATAAGTTATAATTGGAGAGGATCATCAGGATTTTATTGTGGTTCACTAGAAACGACGTTCCATTAATCAATTAGACCTGTATTATATCTCTCTGTAGCATTATCATTTAACCATTCATACATGATTACAATAGTTTAGATATTTATGTAACCACTTGGAATTGTATTTTAAAATGTATTACTAACAGAAAGTAAAAATAAAATTTCATGAATAATTATCATTTTTAGATAAGATTAACAAATTTTGATTAAGATATATTTTTTACTTCCTATTTATTATCCATCTTAGGCGGAATTAAAATTTATTTTTTTATTTCAAATCTAATATAAATGAAGCTTCATCAGTTGAGACTAAAAAGTTGTTTAATACTTAGCTCAAACAAGAAGACCGTGATATAGAAACTGAAATTGAAAATTTAAGCACATCTCGAGTAATGAAGGATTCAAAAAATAATATTTTGTTTTAGAAGACAATGATACAAAGATTTTGTAGGAATTTCAAGGATTAATTTATGAAAATACAAAATTTAGAATTTTAGACTGGGTTAATTGAAATGCAGATGTAAGTTGAAAATATAATATTTTTTAGGTAGCATATTCACAAAGAAAAAATTTAAAATATTTCTCAATTAGATAGTAATTAACATAAATTCAACAAGGTATTTAGAGCATTCAAGCAAGAGTGCAATCTGCTTAAGTAATATCACTAATATATTTGTTTAGAATAAATGCAGTAGAAAGCTTCAAGAGCGTTGTCAATTTGGCTTATTATAGAAATAAGTATAATACACATAATATATTGACAATGTTTTCGAATTATTGTGGAGCCTTAACTAGTTTAATAAAATTTCTAAATACTAATATCGTAATTAATAAAGATGATGATTGAAATTTTGAGAAAATTTAATTAGATAATGATAAAAACACTCCTGAAAAGTGATACATCCTTTAAAAAGAATCACGATTTGGAGACATGAAATTGAAATTAAAATGATCATTAATATATAAAGAATTGATTTAATGCAGAGTTTAAAAAGAAATGCGAAACTTAGATAATAATAACATAATATATGACTATTTATAAATCAATTATGTTTTGTTGTAACCCATTCCAATTATATATTTAAGGTAGTGTCTTCTGGATTAGCATTAGGAACAATGGTTTATGTATAATAACCTTCCACTTAATTTTGATTAGGAAATTCAAATCTGCCAACACCATAAGGCTTATTATGTTAAAATGGTCCTCTATAAATTGTTCCATTTGGATAAATCCATTCTCCATCAACAATCTCGTTATTATTCCAAGTACCTCTAAACTATTCGATAATATGATATTATTAATACTCTCATGGCAGTGTCATTAAAAACATAGGTACCTTGCCCATGTTTCTTTCCTCTCGACCATTGTCCTGAATACACATCCTTATTAGCGTATGTATATAGTCCTTCTCCATGTCTTAGCCCTTACTCCCACTATCCATAATATTCCCCTTTGTTATTATTATAAATCAATCGTCCAATTCCGTGTTTCAAATTCTGTTAAAATACTCCTTCGTATTTATCTCCTGAAGGATTATACGTGTATTTCCCTTTTCCTTCTCTCGCTCCATTCACATACTAACCTTCATAAGTATCACCATTTGGATAACTGTTGAAATACAAGACATAATTACGTAGCTGTTCCTNTTATCATTTTTAGATAAGATTAACAAATTTTGATTAAGATATATTTTTTACTTCCTATTTATTATCCATCTTAGGCGGAATTAAAATTTATTTTTTTATTTCAAATCTAATATAAATGAAGCTTCATCAGTTGAGACTAAAAAGTTGTTTAATACTTAGCTCAAACAAGAAGACCGTGATATAGAAACTGAAATTGAAAATTTAAGCACATCTCGAGTAATGAAGGATTCAAAAAATAATATTTTGTTTTAGAAGACAATGATACAAAGATTTTGTAGGAATTTCAAGGATTAATTTATGAAAATACAAAATTTAGAATTTTAGACTGGGTTAATTGAAATGCAGATGTAAGTTGAAAATATAATATTTTTTAGGTAGCATATTCACAAAGAAAAAATTTAAAATATTTCTCAATTAGATAGTAATTAACATAAATTCAACAAGGTATTTAGAGCATTCAAGCAAGAGTGCAATCTGCTTAAGTAATATCACTAATATATTTGTTTAGAATAAATGCAGTAGAAAGCTTCAAGAGCGTTGTCAATTTGGCTTATTATAGAAATAAGTACACATAATATATTGACAATGTTTTCGAATTATTGTGGAGCCTTAACTAGTTTAATAAAATTTCTAAATACTAATATCGTAATTAATAAAGATGATGATTGAAATTTTGAGAAAATTTAATTAGATAATGATAAAAACACTCCTGAAAAGTGATACATCCTTTAAAAAGAATCACGATTTGGAGACATGAAATTGAAATTAAAATGATCATTAATATATAAAGAATTGATTTAATGCAGAGTTTAAAAAGAAATGCGAAACTTAGATAATAATAACATAATATATGACTATTTATAAATCAATTATGTTTTGTTGTAACCCATTCCAATTATATATTTAAGGTAGTGTCTTCTGGATTAGCATTAGGAACAATGGTTTATGTATAATAACCTTCCACTTAATTTTGATTAGGAAATTCAAATCTGCCAACACCATAAGGCTTATTATGTTAAAATGGTCCTCTATAAATTGTTCCATTTGGATAAATCCATTCTCCATCAACAATCTCGTTATTATTCCAAGTACCTCTAAACTATTCGATAATATGATATTATTAATACTCTCATGGCAGTGTCATTAAAAACATAGGTACCTTGCCCATGTTTCTTTCCTCTCGACCATTGTCCTGAATACACATCCTTATTAGCGTATGTATATAGTCCTTCTCCATGTCTTAGCCCTTACTCCCACTATCCATAATATTCCCCTTTGTTATTATTATAAATCAATCGTCCAATTCCGTGTTTCAAATTCTGTTAAAATACTCCTTCGTATTTATCTCCTGAAGGATTATACGTGTATTTCCCTTTTCCTTCTCTCGCTCCATTCACATACTAACCTTCATAAGTATCACCATTTGGATAACTGTTGAAATACAAGACATAATTACGTAGCTGTTCCTTTGCCTGTATAATCTTTAGTTGAATTTGTGGCACTTCCACCTTCTGGAGTAAATGAAAATGGTTATTATTCCTCGGCCATCTTTTCTTTGATATTTAATAAAAATATTAATTAATTGTAAAATTAATCGATAATGAAGCATAATTTCTTGAGAAGTTGATAATAAATGCCTATGATATTTAAATATATAATATCATTCATTCAGCCATTCAAACTAAAAAAATTAATAAAAGCCCGTAAATATGTATTATTCTTGCATTTACATTTATTATATTCCCCTCCACAATTATAACAAAATTCAAATTTGCATTTGCAAATCATATGATCACAACCTTTATTTTTTTCAATCCAAACCTTACAATTTGGACATTATTTATAATTCGCTTCTTTTACAAAATTTTAAAATTTAGCCTCATCAGATTTTGTCATTAATTTATCTCTATATTCCTAGCATGAATGTTTATTATGATATTCAATTTTACATTCTAAACAATACGCTTTATCACAAACAGGGCAAACAAAATGCGGATTATCACCTGCAATAAAAAAATACGCACAATCAGCTGTTGGGCAGCACGAATACTTATCATAAAATAAATCTATACTTCTTTTTGACGACTCAAGTAAGTTTTTAAATATTAAATTTTAAATTCCTGTAATCCTGGTTAATCGAGGACTGTTTCTAGATCTCTAAAAGTTATAATTTATTTGCATCCTGAAGGACACTAAATTGGAAATGATTGTTATTTTAGGTAAGTGATGTAATGTGATTTTAAGCAACTCTTATGAAAATAGTGAGAGCAACACAATATTACCTTCTCTAGAATTGGAATTTTTTCGAAGCAGATTTTGCATTCGATATCTAGTTGATTTTCATTATTCTCTTCAATTTGTTATATGGTTAATGCAAGACTTTTTTCTGGATCTTCATTTTCTTACCGAAACTGCTAATAAATTGCAGAAACAGCTAATTATTGTTCATTATTTAAAGACGTAGGGGATGGTTTCTGAATTATTTCCCATTAAGATTCAAATATTTCTTTTCTATTCTAGTCAATCTAGTTATTTTCCAATATTTCAAATATTTCATCTTAAACTTCTTTATATAGATTGAGTAGCTATATTTAATATTTAAACATTACATCCTTTTTTCGTAAAATAGAATCGCCATATAACTTATCTAGCCTTTCTTGATTGATGATCTAACAATCTACCAACAATTTCAAACTCACAAATATATCTAAATGCTAATGAAATAATTTTGATGATAGACTTCCCCCTTACAAATACCCCAATAAAAAAGATTCTAAAATCAAATTATTTTACAATTGATCAGCTTAAGTGCCTTCCTATTATTAAGTCAAAGTAAATTACTTTATTTTATCTCAATTTTGAAGTTATTTGTTTGATCACATCAAAGAGTTATAACATTTTAATAAAATATAAACCCATATTTTGAAGATAAATAGATTTATATTTAAGGCCTTTAATTATATTATTTATATTAAGACTGTACTCGTACAGGATCATGTCTATAGTAGTTACTTACACTTTGCTTCAGCAAATGTAGGCAACCAACCAAGCTAGAATGATTCAGCATGCACTCTGATCTATAATTAGGAATATGAATCCATTTTATTACATGGAATGCGATTCGCGATGCCCATCCATATTTTGAGTGTTCTAGTATTCTTTATGGGTATTAGATCCTTTAAATATGTGAAGATTTGAGTGTGTCTGACTAGCTCCTTAAAATAAACAAACGAAATTTATATAAATCTTTTCAAAACTTAAAGTTATATATAATATTCATCATATATCGTTACGCTTATTCAAACATCAAAATTCTATTGTAACTACTTTATAAGTATCCAGAGTGTTATGTGTTCCTTTTTAGATTTGTCAAACAAAAATGAAAATTATAAACCTTATTATCCACAATAAACATTCAAAAATAGATTCCAAATACATTACTTTTTGATTTTATTAAATTTCATCTGTTATCAGATTCTTATTGGAGGTTTTAGTTGTTATAATGATTAATTTAAAATTAGTTTATAATGAAGGTAAATATTTTGTTATAAAGATGGTCAAAATCATCATACATAAGGAGATAAGAGAGAAATGTAGTCATTCTAGTAACTCATGGTATTCTTTTGAAAATATTTTTGAGATTTGGTAATTTATGTCATATTTTTGTTTTAATTAATATATTAAATATGTTGTTTTTGATTGTTCAATGCTCTAATTACATTTGTTAAACTTCCTGTTGCAATTATTAGAATCAATGTTCCTTGAATGATTGTACTCATTTTGACTATGTTAATATCAAATTTAAATTTAGAAAGACACGATTAATTACTTTACATTATCAATTCAATTAGCTTTTTTAATAATATCAATAGCTATCCTTTTTTTATCAAATACTCCAAGTTATTAAGTTGTCCAACGTAGATAACCATAATGAATGTAATTAATATGTTAAATCAATTATGAGATATTCAAATCAAACTTTCTATTTATTTTAAAGTGCTCTCAAACAATATTATTTCTTTTAAATGGAAATTTGATATTCCTTCCTTTTTTCCAAATATTCTTTAATGTCTTTTTCGAATTTTTTTTCATCTTCCTCATTAATCTTATTTTCATACTTTTCCTCTCTTATTTATTCTAGGACTTATATTTTTTTATCCAATACTCTCGCTAGTTCTTTATCAGAAAATTTCTATAACTCTTAATTCATATTACTTTAGCCAATGACAAACAAAAGTCTTCTAATGGAAATCCTTCTACCTAGGCTTCCGAAAATATTTTCAATTCTTCATCTACTTCTGATTTTAACTTTAAATTCTCACACATAATCTGTTGTATAGATTCTAAAAATAATAAATTCAAAACAACCTCCAATTGAATTATTTTTTTGTGCTTTCTCAACAATCAATGAAGAAATTTTTTAATAGTCTTCTAATTACATTATAAATGGATTTAAATCATGCTACAAGTTTACTAAAAATTATTGTGGGGGACAATTCACAAATAGTTATCTTAGTTCAACATTTTAAATTGCTTTAATATGCTTTTAAAATGTATCATCTGAATTATTTTTTGAAAGTTCAACCATATAATAATCATCCTCAGGAGCTTGGGTTGCAAACTAATTCACTATATCCTTCATCATATGCGAAAGCGAAGCATTCCACTTAACATTTATCTCCCAAGTATCTGGATCAATCAATCTATGGCCCATTTATTTCGTAACAAATATTTATGGGTGGCTTTTAGGAAAGTCATAATAAAAAACTCTATAATGGTTAATTTTTTACATAATCACCGTAATTTATGAACTTATTTAACTTATGTAAACTTCTTAACCTAAATGTTTGTAGAAATCTAGATCAAGTTTCCTCATTTTGAAATATTTTTATGTTTCTTTAATCTATTCTTCAATTTTCTAATCCCTATATAAATAAAAATATTGTTAACCTAAATTATTTATCCTATTCATTTTGCTGATTAAGTATTTTTGAGTGATTCTCGATTAGAATTTTTGAAATAACTTTTGTATCCAATAGATCTGAATCCATATATATAAAAAAAAATTATTTATAATTCTCAATATCAACTACCTAATTTATCTTAAATTGCTCATTAATATATTGTTGATCATTCTTTCCAAGAACCTGTTGAATTGTTAATCATATTTTTATGAGAAAAAATGACTATTCCTCTGATAATAACTTTTTTGCAGACACTAAATTAAGTCATTATATAATTTTCACGCCAATAATATATTTAATGATATTTATTTATTCATAAGTATCATTTAAGGAGAAGTGATAATCTCTTGTTTTATTGAAGCTTCCCATAACAATTTATGTAATAAGAAATTCGAGAAGAAATTTAAACATTCCAAACTTATTAATTAGAGGTCAAATAGGAATTTGTAGAATTAAACAATTTATTAATATTACTTTCTTCTTTATAATTGAAATTATATTAAAATTCAACCTTTATACTTTTCTGGATTTTTTCAAAAAATATGTGTTTGAATATTTTTAGATTTCTAATTTTAATTTGTATGAAATAATTCTTATTTAAATCAATGTCACTAATGCTTATGATATTTAAATTATATTTAGGAGGTTTTATCATCTTCAATCTCATATATGTTTCTTTTATAGATTTAGAAATTTATATGTAAACTTAGTTTTTAAGGTGTATTTATACATTTCAGTAATTATACTTATTATACATATTAAAAAAAAGTTCAACCTTTGCTTGATTATAAGAACAATGAATATATTTCTAATAGCAGCATCTTTAATTTATTCATCATAATTCTTCAATTCTCTTAAAGAATCTCAGGGATCTTTCACTCATGTGGTTCCTATTTGAATTCTGAAAGACTTCAGCGCAAAAACATTTACAGATTCGAAATAAAAATTATATAAAACATGTTGGTTATCATAATATTAATCAAAATTGATAATGGTTTATGATTTAAATATATTTAAACATTAATATGGATTGACTTTATAATGTTTAAGATTTCTACGTAATAATTTAATTTAATATTTAACTTTATTTATCTGTTTAATACCTTTTTATGACACTAAATTAACTATATAGTTTTTATTCACTTTAGACCACTTATAACTAAACATTTTAAGCTACAGAGATATTTCTGTAGAATTTTTCACTACAACAAAGATATTCTTGTTTTCTCTATTCCTAAATATCAATACAAACTAATTAATTATTATAAAATATAGAGAATAAACATTACCGTATAATATTTCTCTGTGACATTTATGGCTTCTAAATAAGAATGTTATTTTCACCATAATTTTTACTAATCAAAATAATTGTTCTATTATTAGTGAAAAAATGCATAATCACTATGAAAATCCTGATCGTCTAAAATTCTTTCAATTTTGTTTTTGCTTTATTGTTCTTTCTTCCAATTATGTCAAAACCTTCTCCATTTACTTCAGGACTTTCTTTGCGTTCTTCCTTTTAAGTTCTACCATCGAACTTTGAATGTTCTAAATATTTTTGATAGACATTGAAGTATTCAAATCCTTTACAAAATACCTTAAAATCATGTTGAAATTCGTTTATTTAAAATATTAATGATTTAACGATATTACTTAATTTTTCTTTTTTAAGTGCACAAAGCTTGTATTATCTCATCTCAAAGTTCCTTTTCCAAAATACTTCATATTTTTTATATAATCGTGTAGATAGATTTACCTAAATCCTTATATATTACCTCACTCTCTCATTCTCAATTTCTGATTTTGATTACTTCATTTCGTTTTTAGATTATCCACTCATTTTTTAAACACTTTTAATTGAATTGTTTAATTGTTAATTATAAATATTTAATAAGTATCAGATAGATTTGTTTGAATAAGTTATCATAGATATTTATTACTTAATGATGTAAATTCGCCATAGATTGAATGATTGCAACTGATTTGGTGGTAAATTCAGCTTTGAATTAATTTACAAAAAGAAGATCTTAACAAATTCTATTCCTATACTTATTTAATTAATTTAAACATTTTATAATTGTAT